ATATACGGCAATTGCTACTTGAGTGTAGGCCAATATAAGCAATTTACGAAAAAGTAAAGGTATTTTTTTTACTTTTTATAATTATAAACCTTGAAAAATGAGAACAAATAGGACATACACACCATCGTTTTTTAATTATAATTATGCTCCAGTTCGTTGGCGTTTTGATTCTTATTTAACTTCGCAGGTTTGGCGTTTTTGTTGATGAGTCCCGAAACTAGACGCAGAAAGTGCGCCGGAAACTGCCCTCGGTGACACTTCCACAACTGACGTAGTCATTTTATTGACGTTGTTACTACCTCAGCAGTACTTCCTTAGTGGATGCGCCGACTGCACATCTGAGATAACGACAAGGTGGCACAAAAGAGCACGTCAGCACGAAAATTGACCGATAAAAATCTTGAAGCCGGTTCCCTTTTTTCAGAATGTTTCAATTCACCTCCCTAATTATAGTAGTTACCGCCTTCGGGTGAAACAATATTTATAAATATACACAATAAACACTTGAGAGCATATACGATTATGTACAAATATATGAACACCTCATATAATTATTATTAGTTCTGACATGTTGGCTGAATAAAGGTCATTAACATGTTATTTTGTTTTTCAGTCTTGTAGATATATAAAATAGAAACACGACGCATTAACCCACTGATTAGCTCGGTTGGTAGAGCTCTTCATTATAAATGAAGAGGTCCCTGGTTCGATACCAGGAACAGGCGGATTTTTCAATCGCGCACCAGTTACCTAGCTGTGCTTGGAGATTTGTGTTTGTCTTTTGTCTCTCCTGTTCCCCTTCTCCGGGGATTATAATCATTATACTTGTCAAGCTCACTTGCACCTTTGCATTAATTGCACTATCATAATAACATTAAAATGCAGGCCGTTCACCCTTCTTGGTGTTAGACTGGTGGCTGCTGATAAAACCCATTCCTCTACTGACGTCTAACTCCAGGTTAGCTCAGTTGGTAGAGCGCTCCACTGGAGATGAAGAGGGCCCTGGTTCGATATCAGGTCCAAGCGGATGTTTTCGATCGCGTACCAGTCATTTAGCTGTGTTTGGAAATTTGTGTTTGTCCATTGACCCCCTTGTTGCCCTTCTCCAGGGATTATAATCATCATTCTGGTCCAGCTTCCTTGCACCTTTGCATTAATTCCAGTATCATAATATTAATAAAATGCAGGCCGTTCACCCTTCTTGGGGTTAGACTGGTGACAGCTGATAAAACACGCTTCTTCTACTGACGCCTAACTCCTGGTGAGCTTAGTTGGTAGAGGACTCCACTGGAAATGAAGAGGTCCCTGGCTCGATACCACGACCAGGCAGATTTGTTCGGTCGCGCAGCAGTCACGTAGCTGTGTTTGGATATTTGAGTTGGTCCTTTGTTCCCCTTGTTCTCCTCCTCCCGGGATTACAATCATCATTATTGTCCAGCTCGCTTGCACCTTTGCATTAATTTTAGCATGATAACTAAATATAAGTTACTCGTTACTAGTAACGAGTTATCCACATGTTTGCTCATATCTTATATATTTTGTAACTATTTGTGCCCTTATATGTGTAAACGTTGTGTCAGAATTGTTTTTCGATTCGTTTGTACAGCATTTTTGTGTATGCGTAGTGTTATGATTGCATATGGATAGATGCTCTTGTTGTTTTGTTGCGTATGTGCCGCTGGAGACTCCCCCACCACTTTTATACTTGTTCTGGCCATGACGCCCCTTCTGACAACTGGTTTTACCTTTTGTACCAAGGACATTTCTAATGTTCCATACCAACCCTCATTGGAAAAATATAAGAAATCTGAAATTGAAACTGAGTTTCATTAAATCGAAAACGCAAAATTAGTGATCTCTTACAAAACACGGTTTTGTGATGCTTCAAAAGATACTTGGGTGAGGCCAGCTAAGATGCTCACAATTTCAAAATGTCAATATTTGTTGCTAGACTGTTGAAGTTTGCCGATTTGATAGAGACTTTGATGTTGCGAGTACGATTTAGTTCGAACATAAACGTATACCAAAGAGAAACGCATACTATATATCTCAAAGTGGGGAGATAAGATATGTGCCTCCAGCATCACCACAGGTGGCATCAAAAATGCCACTTCGGAATAAATAGTAATAAAACCACACCAATGGTTTTCCTTTTTCTCGCGCAGATGTTTTGAATTAGTTACAATCTCCCCTTTGGGAGGATACCACTTTGAAAAAATTGGTCTTAAGTGCATTCGTTTTTGTTTTTTAGCTTATGAATACACGGCATGCAGTTCACGCCTATCTCCGATTTTTCAGAGCTGAGATTCATAAACTTTTTTTTTAGCTTTTGGTCACTTACATCGCGAATATATTGTTTGTTCATGTTACGATAGATCAACACTTGTTTCCAATACTCGGGTTTGACTTTCACGGTTTTGGTCCCAGCTAGCGGTAAGTGCACAATCAGTACAATAGTTAGAATTTCTTATTTAAGAATTACGCAATGTCATGAGAAATTTAAATATTCTTATACTACTCAAGAAGTGGGAACATACATATCGAGACAATGGTCTGCTCAAACAAACATTTTCACAGCATGACTGTCGGGATGAAGTGGTTAACGTTGCAGCAGGGTAAGTAGTTGCTGAAGAGTCGAAGAGTTTAGCGTTCCATATATTTCTGCATTTAGTGTTCTCTAGCTCTACTAAAATGTACTCATATTGGAGGGATTTTAGAACCATGTAACATTGAATTTCCAACCTGTACCTAAAGCTCGCATATTCGACGGACCTGAACATCTGTTCGGTGAACGTGCTGAGGGAACTGTGTATTCAGAAAATATTTCCGCATGCTCCAGAATAACCGCAACATATAAACTCGATGCAGGCGGAATGAACATCATTACGCACAAGGCGCACCATATATATATATAAGCTTAAGAAACTTCCTGTCATGGCGGACGTCAGGCATGGCAAGGAACACACTGATTATAAAAAATTACCTAAAATTCACTTGTTAACTTTTAATTGCTTTGAATGCACATATGGCTTCAATTGAAAACCTGCTGAGGGACATCAAAAACCAAAAAGGTCAATCACTTTCAGGACAACTTAAAGCACGTGAGAGGCGCGGGACAACGTTAAAGTTCTCCCTCGAGCAGCAGTCCGAAAACTCATAATGTTAAAACCCGAAAGCTTTTTTTGTTTTTTTTTCGTGTTTTAGTCTTGGCAGGGAAAAACACTACAACGACTACGAAAGGCCGCTCCAGTTTACGAGGGCGGAATAGCGTAGAGGAGCTCCGCCATCAGACTTTAGGGGAGTAGGGCCCGATCACACCTGGCTACATCATGTGGGCGGCGGTTATATTCCGAAGGATACGGACCAGAGACGCAGTGACCCCTTTCAAGCGAGCGATTTCCGATAAGGTCGTGGAACTCTGTGTATTAGACAGTCGTTGCACTCTGTGTATTAAAAAAGAACTGAAGGCTCCAAGTACCAATTCGCGGTACCTCTGGGATCCGCTACGCTACGACTCCATCGAAACGCCAGAGGGGCTCACGTGCACAAAGACGTCGACCAACGGACAAGCCCAATGCACCTGTACTCTCAGTGCACTATTCCTTTACTAAGAAGCGGTCTTGAACTCCTTTCTCAGATTCTTTTGAAACTAGAGCTTCCTTGGCTGCGTTTAACCCCACTGGTCCCCAGCACTCCTACCCCTTTCTTTTTCTCCTTATATCCCTATAATTTTTTCCCCAAGTACAGACGCAGCTTCCGCTGCGAGATGATGGGTCCAATCAGGCAAAGTCAAAAGCCCTCGATCATGGTGGTCATTATGTTTTTCTATATACTCAAATATTGTTGAACCAACCGGAAAAAGGAAAGGTCCTGTGACAGGCGCTTTTGAGGCTGCTTTATGGGACCCATTAGCTCGTTGCGTTGGTTCCATCCAGACTTAGGCTGAAACGACGTATAGAAAGTAAGTTCTTACGGACCAATATGGATATGTTCCCTCGTAATATCTACGTACTGCAGGAATAATGGAAGCCGCCTGGCTCAGCCGAAGAATTAATAATCTGTAGCTAAATTATAAACTCACAGTTTTGTTTACTATTTTGAACCAATAGTAAATACCCAGCAGAAAAATAAGCATCAACTCGTATAGAAATAATTCTTTGGTCAACAAAAATGCGCTTAATCTTACTTGCATGCAATGTCACCTGCAAGGAAGGACACGCAAGTAAAACGTATCTCTTAATATTTTATCACTGCTAAACTAATTTTTTCTAAGCTAGTTCTGCATGACCAATTCTTATCAGTTGTAAAGACTAGCAGCATCTTAAAGTTCAGTCAGTCTTGGTGTTCATGTCCTAGTGTGCCGTTCGCGGTAATTGTGTAGGCGATTAACCTACATTAATAGTCTAGTGTTTTAAGCTATTCTTGGCCAAAGAAACATCCGGACTCTGAGATACGTCACATTCTTGTTAATTAGTTTTTTTTTAATGACGCTAGGTATACAAACATCTCGTAAGCAGAACTGGTGCCGCAATATTCTTTCTAAATTATTTTAAACGTATAGTGAAACAATTTGTAGAATCTTTATAAACAATTTTATTGTCTGGTTATAAAGTAAAGCTCAAGAGAATTCGTGAATAGTGGTAATTATCTAGTCATTTCATTGTTTGGCGTACCTTCTAAAGCAATGCGATATCATACATCGTAGAATCGACATAATCGAGGCTCGTCAGAATCGAAAGACTGCAGGCGAGCTGGTTCGGGAACGACGTACATGTGAGCCCTAAGACACGGACGATAAAAGAAGGACAAAAAACACACAGTTTGTTTTGATTTGTCCGTTTTTTTATATTTCCTGTCTCACAGTTCGTAACCCTACCTCCAAGTGTTTATCTAAATCGCAGCGTATTTCCTTTGTAGTTTTTGTGGTAAGCTTCCATACTACTTTATAATTATTGTTTAAGAATTCATGTATTTGAATTTTGATAAAAATACTATAGGACAACGTGTTGTAAGATAGTTTACTACAATTCAACGTAGTGTTATAAACATAAATCTTTATTACATCCCGATGCATGCTCTTTTCACTGTCACGACCTGAAAAAAGAACACCGATTTAAGCACGTATGGTTTTGCAAGCACAACTCTACATCCTAAAGAACCCACAGTTTAATCTCAGCTTTAAAAGCTATCCACAGTGTGTTTACGGATACGTAATTTTATATAAATATAAACCATTTTTGTTTTAGGAGGTTTGTGTTATGTAGCGGGATGAAAATGTGAGGAACAATAATTACTTTTATGCTAATTTTATGCTGAAATTTGACGTGCAACAAATTTAAGATTTTTATCTCGTTGTAGTCCTAAATTTTATTTTTATGACCTAAGAATTACCATCAGATTTATCACAAACCTTGATTATGGGCGCCTAATATTCTTCCTTTGCTTATCCTATTTTACTTTAATTCCTTGCCGAGATATTCGTTCAATCGTCTGCTGTTCACTAGGATGCCGCGAAACTTAAAACCCCTATAGATCTCGTATTCAACAATAACCTGTTTTCGATTTGATTGTGATGAAATATTTCTGCTTGAGCTTGGAGTTTGTAAATAGACATATCGCGGATTAAACTTTTTAAAAAGTAAATAAAGCATTCTCCGGTTTGCATCTTCACCAAAGTTAACAAAATGTTCTGAGCTCTTAAAAAAAAATTAGAAATAATATTTGGTTTGGACACTAGAAGAAAAAAAAGCAGTCGAAGCATGTGCAAAATAAAAGATGAGCAAGGCAGGAATTAGTAAAGCTATCCACCTGATGATTTACTCTGAAATACAAAACAAAATCTTGGAAATATAAAACTAATCTTGAAAGAAACCATCCTGCGATATATTGTAGATATAAATTTTTGTCACTCTGACAATCCTGGATGCTTTTATTACTACAGTAATCAGGAAACCTTCTATATTTAAATACGACTTGTTGTTATTATTTTTGTTTTTGGAAATGGTTCTGGGCATCAATAAGCCTCATTAACAAAACAGGTGACACAATTTTAGGCACATCAGCTAAGACCACTACTGTGAGGATCACTATACTTGTTTTTGAACTTTCATTCTAATGTTTAGGTGACAGCAAAAGGTTTACCCTTAATAACATTTTCAGATTTTTATAAAACAAATAACGAGGAACGATGTGAAACAACTGTTTTTTTTTGGAATTCGCACATCGCATATTTGATTACTGCAATTAAAATGTGACAGATCCAAAGCCAGATGAACTTGCTAGAAATCACGCATATTCAATTATACTAACATTAAGTCTTAATAAAAGCATTGAACTTACTGCACACCTTCAGAAGCGTAGTGCTTACTACCGAAGTAAAAGCAAACTCATTGCAATTCCCAAAATGGCAGTCACAGGTGCTTGAACTGCAAAAGAGCAACAGAAGTATACCTTAAAATCTAAATATAAGCAGATTTCGAAGAAGTTGACACAGCAATTTTTTTTTTTATATTTGGGAATGATTGATATAAAATATAAATATGAAGCGTAGACAACATACGTGTATTGAAACATGCGATTTTACGAGTATTGCACGGGAACTGATTGCCCCAGTGCCCTCCGTTGTTGCTCACCTGAAACACCGCTATTCTTCTCCTCGCACAGGTTTCCTTTAAAACCTTTTGGGCACCTTAAATAAAAAATAATAATATATATCTATTGTATATGTTGCATTGGGTGTAATGTCGTGGGTGTCGTGAGTAGTACAGAATCATAATCATTTCATAGGAATATGTCCAAGTGTGACAAATGTTTGATAACAAATATTTCCGATAGAGCAAACCATTGTTAAAAAAAACGTTTGATTTGGAGCGAAAAAAAATATTTTTAATAGAAGGCAATCAATGATACACTAATGCGGCCCGTGCAGTGAGGCAAACGCAAAGTAAATACAATATAGGTGGCTAATTGTCACGATAATAAAAATTATTAAAAAGTTCGGTGAAAAATATTTTATGAACTAACATGTGGTTATAATTAGAAACTTGATACGCGTCATCAAATCCTCTTTATGAAATAATTCTAATTTTTATTTAAACTCGATACGGTGATAAGTGCGAAGGTGATCTGAAGTTACTACTCGCGCAACAGGCACAAAGCTGGCATCGTGGACACGCGAATGAGGAGGAACGGAAAAACCGCGCGAGTGGTTTTGCATGCTCCTCATGGTTGAAAATTAGGACACAACATAGGTTGAAGATGGGGAAAAGCACCTCATCTCATTAATAAGTAGCGTATAACCAATACTTCCTAATTTTGTATCCCTACACTATGTATTAGAGCTCCTAAAATATCCTCGAGTTATTAAATAGCTAGTTTGGAGCTGGTGACGGCTTGAAGTTGAGCTAGTTGGTTCATGCTTGTTAAAGTGCCACCTGAACGTTTTAAAGGCACACACACACAATCTAACAAAAAAGACAAAAAAGTTTGGAGCACTGAGCAGAAAACCGAAAAGAGGGAGGATAATATTCTACGCAAATACTTACTCGCACGTAAATGTTTTTCCTGTGCCGGGCTTGCAAACGCCCCCATTCACACATGGACTTGGACTGCAGGGATCTACGGGCATCAAGCAACAATCTGGCGGTTTATATTTAATAAAATATTGAATTCTTACTATATTTCATGACATTTTGTTGGCATAAAACCTGGCACGTTGATCAGCAACTGAATTTCGCCAATTTTAAGTTGTCCTGTTTTTATGATAAAAAACGTTTAGTTCAAATTAATTTAAGGCCTGTGTAATTTCGTTCAATAGAAGAGTTATATAATGCAAAGGCTATTTGATGAAAGAATGATCTTACATGTATAACCAAAGGTTTTGCCGGCTTATATACGGATATTTATCGAGTAATAATTCATTGAAAAACATGTGGTAAGACTATCACATTTACTGAGCTTGCACGCACACTTTACATTTCTGCCGATACCAAATTATCTGGAATTTTGTTTTCATACAGTAGTTGAAGAAAGCAAGCTCAATATCATTTTAAAAATTCAAATTCTAGCTAAGAACACCCCTATTTTGTTAGTAATCTTTCAAACACGACGTTACAACACCTTTATAATGATTATTCGAAGTTTAAATAAAGCACACGCCTTTAAAACAAGAGATAACCCTTACAGCTTTTTTAGATATGTTAAAAACAAACATGAAATTTACACTTATGCTGTTTGTGCAGGTGCGTTATACGGCCAGGGGGACACACTATGGGGGCTAAAACGATCAGTCGGGTAGTAGTGTATATGTGTTCATTCAATAGTGTTCATTCAATTAAAAAAAATGAACATATAATTCCAATTAGAAACTTGCTGAGCGTCAACAAAAACCACTAAATCAGTTGTTTTCAGAAACTCTCTTTGCGCATGACAAGTGTAGTATAGCGCTAAAGTTACCACACTTGCAGCAGGAGCAAGAATACCGGTCCGTTAGGGCGCCCGAACGATTTTTCCGTCTCGTTTCAAATCCCCAGCATTGTACCTGCTGCACCAGCGGTAACTTTAGCGCGCGACTGCGCTTTTCACGCGCTCAGTCTTTCCAGTAGCTGATTTCATGATATTGACGATGATAAGCAAAACTTTAATTGAAGTTATATATTTATTGAAATTGATTAAAAAGTTAATTAACAAGTTTCACTTTATTAGCCTTGTGATTGGTATGATTAGCCCCATCTAGTAGGTCCCCCTAGGAATATAACTCACCTGCACAACCCGCATCAGTGTAGCTTTTACGTTTTTTTTTTTTTGTAAATCTTTTTAGGCTCACAAAAAAAAGCTTAAAGAAACTCCCGTTACATGCCATCTTCACTTTGCTTTTTTAGGCAGCGGTACACATGATATGAGATTATAATCATTGCCTCCAGTAGATTCAATAAATAATTGGTTGATTAATTTGTTTATTATTATATTAATGGGCCGTGTTACCACTTCAGTTTTCACGGCGGTTACTATGAGTGAAAATACAAGTTAGACGTTCGTAAAAAAAAACAGATTTAATATATTTTTTATTTGTTACCTTCGGAATTTTCACGTCCGATTTCTAAACTCAGTTTAAAAAATCTGCCGCTAGCAATATCTACAGTGGGTCATTAAGGGGCAGTCCACAATCACGACGTACTTATTTCTGGCTTAGCTTCATACTTTTGACGCATTCAACAAAGACACTCTGCCAATATGAGGAAAATCTGCCCAAAATGGAGATGTGAGTCATATAGATAATATTGTAAGAAGTAAATTGGGCGCATTTTCTTTGTCATTTTTTTAGAATTAAAAAATATAATGCAAATTTATCGTTTAATGCCTGATATCCAGTAGTCTTTGGCAAAATATAAAAACCGTATAAAATTCCATATCGATTCCAATTCCAATCCCATACCACCAACACGCTCAAGTCTTTAATTTTTGACACTTTAGCAATTCTTAAATATTTAATCACGATAGTCACTAAAAATAAATCCACCTATTTCGTATAAGAATGCTCCTCATCGGAAAGGCTATTTCGCAACTTAATATCCACACAGCCCCGTAAGCACCCAGCGAACACAGCAACCATGTAACTATCGCACAAAACGCTCCTCTACAAATAACCATTTGTACGAAACTGAAGTCTATGTATACTAGACATTCATATCATTTGAAGTTTTTCAACTCAAGATTTCAATGATAATATCAAAATTCTATCTTTAACTTCGTAGTTGAACACACACTGTGTGTTATAAAAAGCTAGCGAAAATTCAAAACATGTCAATGCATTCGATTTTATTTATCAAAAGTGAGAATTTAATTTATGCATCTGACACTTTAGCCTTTTAACTACACAACAAAATCATTACCACTTTGCTATAGCAACATATGTATACCCTGTATTGACATATATCTCACAGGGATTATGAAGATTTTGCCTTATAATAAATAGTCAAACGTATACATAAATACTATTAATATAAAAATTTTATACTTCAGCGAGCATCATATTAGGGACGAATTGTCTAACGCAGTCAGCATATATCTCTATGAAAGCTGACGTTTTAATACATCATATGCATTGTCGTGTTCAGAAAGCGGGCCAAATAACCTAACTTCTTAACTAATTGTGATTTATTCGTTATTGAAGCAATTTTACCAAAATGTTTTGTGAGATTATCACCATAACTGAAACATCTTGTCAATATATAAGTGTATTATTTAACCTTACACTTCGCGTTCGCTTCACTGAATATTTGAAGTGTTATGTAGAAATAGAGAGTTCTGTGAAAAAAAAAATCTGTTACCATCTGAGACCGGAGTAGTTTTCGTTACAGTCCCTTCTGTTCCAGTTTGAGGCTCCTTGTCAGTCACTGCTCAGGAAGCATACATTATGAAAGTCATTAGATAGACTGATAGAATATATTAACTTCCGTAGATTTTCTGACAAGACTATCGACAAGAACACCAAAGTAAGTCACGATCGGAGGACGCACTTCACTTGTCGTTTTACGCAACTCTAAGCTGTTCACCGCTTCTCTCGCAGATATTTCTATATTATTTCATACATTTCAGCATCCAGACGACGCAAAACGATTGCTAAATAAAGCTACATTAATCGATTCCAAGAGGCTTTAAGTTAACTGGAAACTCTCGGTAAAATACAATTTTATTATTTAACCTCTAACTTCGCGTTTGCGTCACTGAACATTTTTAAGCATCTAGTACAAAGACACCGTTCTGTGAGAAAAAAAATATATTTATCCGTTACCATCTGGGACTGGAGTATTTTTCGTTACATTCCCCTCTGTTCCAGGTTGAGGCTCCTTGTCAGTCACTGCTCAGGAAGCATATATTATGAATGTGATTAGACAGATTGAGAGTTACATTATATTCACTTCAGGAAATTTTCTGACAGGATTATCAAAGAACACCAAAGTAAGTCACGAACGGAGGATACACTTCAGTTGTCGTTTTACGCAACGCTACACTGTTTACCATTTCTCTCAAAGACATCTCTACATTGTTTTATACACATTAGTTCAGCGTGCCGACGACGTAAAACCATTGCTAAAAAAGTTACACCACACGATTCCAAGAGGTTTTAAGACGACGCAGATTTCTTCTAATATGCTGCTTCGATAAGCCGCTCCTTGTTTAAAATAACATAATGCTAAAAAAACGATTGTCTTCACAATACACAGAATACATTTGTGGGTACAGAATTTCTTGTGAATTGTTACCACGTGGGTCTGACATGAATGATTTATAAATTATGCTCGATGCGAACCTCACATTTGATGGTTACATAGTAGAAAAGAAATATTCACTCGTCGACTCTTCGCAATTTAGGTATAGCATCTCACATAATGACGAAACTCAACACCTGTTCGTGGTTATTATATTGTATCGTACCACTCTCTAGTAATAGCCGCGATAGACTACAGCTGAAATCTGTGGGGCGGTATTTTTAAGACAAACTTATTGGGAGTTGTTAGAGTTAAAATACATTTAATTTCAATTTTTTTTTGTATCAAAGGGATTGTTCGGTAAAATTTTGTCTTCAAGAAAACAATTAATTTGTATGTCCGGTGTCATTAAGTACATCTTACGCTCAATAACCAGGGCGTTTATTGTCCTCCGTCCCGCACTAGAAATTGCATTTTAAAATAGCTGAAACTGTTCAGGTCGCGTATTTAAACAAACGGCGTTTTTTTTTTGTTACTCTTTGTTCGTCTGAAAAGCGCTGACTTAGGTCACTCTTTCCTCCTCTCGCAACATGCGATAAAATAGAACTTTCTGCACGGTCGGCCGATCAGCTGTAGAGTTTTGCATGCATTTTTCTCCACACTGCACCCTGTGAAAAGTGCCATTACTTTCGCTTTCAGCTAGTCGGAAACAAACAGATACTAACATACATATAACCAAAACCTCGCAAGCCGATTGCCTGAGAAGTATTGTTTTACGTGGCAATCATCACTTTGACCGTTCAATTGTTCAAAACTTCATGGTGGCAATTCTGAACAAACCGCACCAGGATTGCGATCACGCGCCCTCGTACTGAAAGAGCAAAGTATTGTTCAAGATCTCCGTGCACTGACGCCGCATGTGGTACTGGTGGAAGCTATGCACGTATTTCGTGGCCGCCAAGACTCAAATACAAAAGAAAACTCTTCCAAATTAGCTCGTATTGTAAGATATCATTAGGATATAACCGATGTGTAAATCTTCTTTAAGCAGACATTTCTCTATGATACAGCCTGTCAACGCTATTTTTAATCTACCAAGGCCGTCAAGGGCAAACTGCTTATCTTATGGACCAGAAGGACGCCTGTACTCGGCCCTTGCGCTACTTTAACAGGGTTTCATTCATTTATCAGCAGCGAAATATCTTTCATGAGATACCATGCTGTAGATAAAAGCCCATTTGGCGCAGATTCTGATGCCATCTAATGCCTCAAGGAGATAAGTTTGTTTTAAAAAAAACAATAACTACGTTACTGGAAAACGTTCAGTATTGTTTCTACGCGCACATCATCGAAAAAGTTGATGTCATGAACATATAAGTAACAAAATAGTAATAATTGCTGTCACACATCCCTGCAACCTCACGGGTTCGTCAAGGGAGACGGTGTCACTAAAAGTATTTGCCCTTTTTATATCGGCGCAGTATTTGCAAGTGCCTCATTAATGGATATATTCTAGCCAATACATTAACACTGGATTAAGGCTGCTTTGTGTGTCCTATCGGGTCTTAAGATCCAAGTAACCGACGCGATTCCAGCACACTTGTGCACACCGAAAATCGTATGTACACGGGGTACAGCCTAACACCAGGGCGATCGCATACATGATGTGATGTCGCACGAAGACATTCGCGTAAGTTTGGCGTGAAGACTCGTATTGATAACTATAGGAAATTAAAAAAACAAGCATGTGAGCTTAAATAGAATAAAAATCACAGATCACTATAATAAGGATCGTTCTTTACGGGACCAGCAAAAACATTTAGCACAAAGACATTAACGGACAACCCATTTAACAAAGATCTGCACTGCGTAAACAATCAATATGTCTCCGAACTTGTAAACTTTCTTAAGCAACAAAAGGTAAAAGCAGATTTTTTTTTCTTATGAAAGAACTGAACGTTTTAATAACTGTACCAGCTTTTTTGTCAGGAGCTGGGTTAGAGAACTACGTGCGCCTACGTGGGCTTTCGTTTTTTATATGTTTGGTAATTTTAGTTAATTAAGCACAATCCTTAGATCGACTGTTCAGTGTTGAACAGGTTACGAACAGTTATCACTGTTATAAACTTTGTTCTTCTATACGGTCAGGGTTAACTAGCACTTGAACATATATCCGTGCTATGTCAAGTTATATTCATACTGCTTCCGACATGAACGCTTTGGTGCGGTATGTTTCATGTCTAATTTCTCTTCGTGCGTTGGCTGCATTCTAATTTTGGTATCATTCTAGAGTCATGCCGGTGAACCCCGTTCCTCTTATACATGTGTGTTATTTCTTAATTTTATTCAAGTAAATGTAGCAGCGCTAGGAGCGCGCTATTTTCTTCTGAATACTATAACGAAACATTAATAAGTAGGTCCCACAGGGTTTTATATTTTCACTCTAAGGTGGGCATGCCCGCACTTTGCTGCAAAGGAGCCCTTATATTGGTAAAAGTCGCCCCCGCATAGGCCAGGTAAAAACCCACGCTTAGTCGAAGTAAAGCACTCATTATTGCAGTTGGCCTCCGTAGAGGCAAGGTGGGTCTAACGGGTGTTTATATCGGCAGCCCAGTTGAGTATGCCCAAGCTTTACCGCCGTGGATCCCTTATATAGCATTTGGCCCCCGTAGAGTCGAGGTGGGTCCCATGGGGGTTTTATATGAGCAGCCTTTGTAGGGCAAGCCCACGCTTCACCGCCGTTGAGCCCAGATCATCGCAACTTGGCCCCTCACGGCCGAGGTCTGACTTTCGGGGGTTTAACATGTGGAGCCCAGCTCCGGCGTACCCACGCTTTGCCCGTATTTTTGCTATCTCTCCACCTGCATAGCTGAGGTGTTGCACGGGCAGCTCAAGTTGGGCGCGCTCATACTTTGCTCCCCTGAAGCCCTCATCTGCGCTAACTCTGACCCCGCATATCCGAAGTGGAAAACGGGGCGGTATTGCACGGGCAGCCCAAATTGGGCATGCCCTCGCGTAGCTGAGGTGGCACCCACGAGGGTATTGTATGGGCAGCCAAAGTAGGGCATTTCCACGTTGTGCCCAACTTTGTCCTCGCATATCCGAGTTGGGACTCACCGCGGCACGGCGTGGGAAGCCCTTATCGGGCATGCCCACGCTGCTCCTACGGGGATCGTCGTGGGTTTTATATGGGCTGCTAGAGTCTCTGTTGCACACGTGGGTCCCACAAAAGCCGTATGTCTCGTCTGCCGCTTTGAAGTGTAAACATTGATATTTTTGTATATAGAGTGATATTTGAAGACCGCATTTTGTTGTGTTGTGCTTAACTGTTCCTTTTTTTTCCTTTGTTTAACAATTTTGTTTAGGTAGTTGTGTTTTCTGTTGGCGCAATACTAAGAGGAATATAGTAGTTTTAAGATAGAAAAGGAGATATTAATATTATTCAAGAATCAAGGTTTAATTTTTAGGTGTCCAGGAACAGCCGTACGGTTTTGGTGTTGTCACACCGAAACGTACACAAATTCTAAATTGCGCATAAAGAAAACGCAAAAATACAAAACAAAAACGACTAGATTGACAATAATATCCACAAATATACAATTGTACAACGAGTGAAGTGTTAATAATAATAAGAAAAACAATAAGCAGTCGAAGAAGCATATTAATATAGCCTAAACCCGTACACAAAGAATAAAATTCATAATACGTATATCAAACGACGCCCTAGAGGTCCTTTCGGGTTGCCCTTTTCAGTAAACACAGTTCTGCTAAAGAGCCGTTTTGACGAAGCTTACAAAATGACAAAATGACTGAAATAAGAAGGTGGGCTAGTTGGTTCAACATAATAAAAATATAAAGCGCAAAGGACATATGAGCATCGTACCGGCGTGCGGTCGTGTATCACTACTGCGTGATGCACGTTAAAGACCCCAGGCTAGCGGTTGTACTGCACTGGCTAAATTGATCATCTGCTGCTGAGAGACTCGTCGCCCGTCAAGATAGACCAAGTTCTAGGCTGTATAAACATAAACACAGCTTAATTTTTTTTTACGAGAAGAAGACAAGAGAACGCTATACCCACAACTGGCGTTTTAATAAATAAAATATAAGGAAGAGAGGAAAAATTATACTAATAGAGAAGGACATAAAACCAAGGAAAAATTTAAGAAACAGGATTAATCAAAGGAAATGTGTACAGTGGTCTAGACTTTCCATTTTTCCAAGGAGGGCAGGCTGAGAAGTTCTCCGAGGGGGGGGGGGGTGCTTTTCCGCGCAAGCGGAAAATCACCCCCTCCCCCCCGGAAGCACGTTGGGATTCTATTTTCCATGTACTTTTTCAATAAAGGCAACATGGGCATTATTTTGATTACATGCCCCTACTAGAAACTCGTTACATGGCACGTAAACAGCGTCTCGATAAGGATCATGGCCCAACTCGGGGGGGCTCTGCCCAAAACCCGGATCTCACCATGGGGGGCACAAGCTTCGATGCTTCCCCCCCCCCCCCGCCCGCAGTCTACGCCTTTGAATGTATAGGTTGCGGGGATTTAGACACGTAGATGACTTGCCTGACGACGTGGTGGGCGCGCGAGCAGAGAGCGCGGGGCCCATGCATGGGGTCAGGCATAGTCTCCTATATACTGACAAAGCCTGGTAGATCGCCATGAGAAGTGGCCGCCGAAATGGAAAGGGTGGACCGGCAGGTAACGGAGGAGAGGAAAGCTACGTGTGTGGCGCTCCGCTGCGGCGAGACGCCAAATCCCACTTCTCCCGAGCGAACAAGTGCGTTTCGGGTCCTCGCCGTTGCAAAAGCTCTGCGCTGACGTCCAGCTTCACCGAGAAATATCCCTTTCATGCACTTCGCTAACAGATCGTCGCGCTGCAAATCTACGACCGGGAACTATAGGCTACGTCGTCAAACCGCCAGGCTTTGTGAGTATAGAGGAGGCTATAGGTCAGGGTATGGGGCACGAGGCGCGTGGACGGTACAGTTTTGGGCATGGCGGCATAAGCCGCAGAACAACAGGCTTAAATATAATTAGTACTTCATAATGACTTGGAGCCTTTCGCCGGACTAGCGGAGAGCGAAAATACCACAATCGGCGCACCAACGTGGAATTCGCCCTTTGTATGGAGCCGAGTCGAGCTGTGTAACGATAAGATGTGTCTGCACTAGCTCGATTGCAGCGAAATGCTCAAGCTATTTGAAAAAAGGGCTCTCAAGGAAACCTTTTAGGCTGGAAACCAATCCAGCGATCTGCTCCCCCAAAGGATCGCCGCCAAGAGACGCAAGGATTAAGGGTGCAAATCTCGTCACTGGTATTTTAAGCGATAATTCTGGCCGTTCTAGTTCGGGTGCAAACTGGAAGACATATTAAGTTAAGCGGTGCTAGTGATGATGCTCGGTTGAGGGGAGATCGGTCAGAAAGTAGGCATATATTTTTGCTATTGTGACTGTTTCCCTAAATATTTAATTCGTGTTTATTTAAAAATGTACGTGCCACCTTGATGTGCGTTCCCTCTCTTCACTCGATCAGTCGTGAAGTGAGCTGGCAGAGTTTTTAAAGTTAAGCGGTTGGATGGATGATGCCCCGTCGAAAAGTGGGACCGGTGGAAAAGCAGGCAACTATTTTGCTATACTCACGTTTTCTTAATTTCAAGATGAGGACAAAGGTAATAGCTATATCTACTGGGGGTTAATTTTGTGAGGTTTTTGGCCCCGCAAAGGAGATTTGTTGCAAACTTCTGCAATGATGAAGAGTACCTGCTGATTTTCTAGAACGTGAGATAGGAAGGAGGGGAGGGGGTTGGAGATGGGGGGGTTTGGACACGCAGATGAGTTGCGTGACGTAGCACTAATCGCGTGAGGAGCGAGCTTTTGGCAAAGCACGGGGTCAGGGCACGACATGCTAGGCGGGTGGAGGGGAGAAGTTCAGCCATGTCGGCATAAGCCGGAATGGCTGAGCTTCTCCCGTCCACCCGCCTAACCTTCGAATGATTATTATAAAAATATCCTTATTGAAGGCATTAAATAATAAAGAAAAAAAATCCGTGCCAACACTTTGGCACAATCTGTGAAATGAAATGTTTTGAAGGAAATATTAATATTATAACTGATTTAGCTTCTGTGATATCCAATCAATGACCGTCCTTGGGAACGTTCCAATTGTTTGTCAATAAAAACAGAAATTGACAGTTTTGTAAATCCGAACCATAGGACTCACTGCAAAAAAAAAAAGTTGGGCTGTGCAATAAAAATAAGACTTATCCAAAAGTTTAATTACTGTTTATTGATATTTTATAACTTTTATCTAAAATTTTTCCTGTGAATATTTTGGATGACAGTCTAAATAAAACACTACCCAGACTTCTTAGATGAGTCTCAAATATTCACTGATTCCTAGGTCATCAACACCGAGCGCTGATGTCCGATAACGTTGGGGATGTTCCAACATGATTTTAACATTACTTTGAATGATGAAAATTCAGACGATTATGTACCCAAAACTAGATACCTCCTAAAACCTTATGTTTGGTGGTGGAAGTATAGTAGTTCTTCGTACGACAACGAAACAGAACTGCACGCACACCGGCGTCCCCAGATGCTTTGATAATTTGCGCCTCGTAACGTTCCCTGGAGCTTTGTCCTCGAAAGTGTTCCAGAACTTCTGTCTTTTTGAAGACCGGCGTGCATTGACAGTCACGGACATCGGTTTCTAGATGTCCCGCCGTTGAGTAGTTTGGTGGTGTTACTTGTTCTCGCAGTCTTGTATTGCGATAACCATAGTGTCCCCCATAAACCGGCCAAATTGTCCCTCATAAACGTTCCCGCAGATAAATGGTACCTTGAGCATACGAAAGATGGTTATTGAAATACCATCTCGTCTGATATTGTCAGAATGATGGTTAGTTCAAAAATACAAAAACAAAAAGGGCAAGAACAGGTATCGTCGTCCTGCGGTAATGCCCTGCATGCACTGCTTATCCCATAATATCAAAAAGGTTACATCCAGAAATGCTATTCCACTGGTATTTTCAGCACCGGGCAGCTATAGAGGCTATGCCCTAAGATCAATTCTGCGCAAAATTGTTAGGATGAGTGCAATGTGAAGCACACGCATAAATATATACTATTCCGTTGCAACATAATAGTGGTATGATATGCAATATACGAGTCACCTGCGGGAAAGTTTACGTGGGACAATCTGGCCGTTATGTAAGCACAAGACTGTGAGCAAATGCAACATAACTAAACTGCTCACCGGCGGAACGTCTAGCAATACAGGTCGTGACTGCCAATGCACGTAAAACTTAAAAAAATACAGACGTCTTGGAGTAGTTCCGAGAACAGAGGTCCAGGGAATTGTACCAGGCTCAGTTCACTAAATCTTGTAGAGGCGCCTGTGTTACTACGCCTACTCTCTCGTTGTCCAACAAATGGCTACGATAGCTCCACCACCCTACATTCAGTCTTGGGAATGATTTAGTCTTGGTGCATGCACCAAGTTTATTTAGTCTTGGTGCATGATCTTTTGAATCTTTATCCTTCAAAATAATGATAATTTTTTATAATATTTGATGCCTTTTATAATGCGATTTTTATGGCCATTTATCACTGTATTCGCATTTATATCTCATGTTTCTTCGACTTTTTTCTCGTCTTTTTTTTTTGTATTACCTCCACTTTTATAGTATTGTATCTTTTCAATAAAAACATTAGTTGGGGGTATAGCGCTGTCCTCTACATTATGTCCTTGTCTGTCCGTTTGCGTTTTATATTTGCGGTAGGGCAAAATGTCATTTATCACAGCCATTGACCCCATTGAGGCTGGCCAGTACGAGTAAAACCGAAACTAAACTATTCCAGATGTAGAGCCTCGTTTTAAACACGTTAGGTTATTATTATTTATTATATTAAAAACTATAAAATAAATAAAATTAAAACACGAGTATTCGTTAGGACACTTGATGTCCTAGATGTACCTCTTGCAGGGCTGGGCAGCTGCAAAAAGTATTCGGGAATACAAATACTGAGATACATGTATTCTAAGGCCCAAATACGGATACTGAGATACATTTGTTGTTTATGCAGTGGGATATCCCTGAGATACTACTGCGAAAACATCGAAAAAGTATTTCGGACTCCAGATATAGGTACTCATAGAAATACATTTGATCACGAGCGGTGCTACCTAGTGAGTATGTAATTCGTGGTGAATGCAAATGGAAATTTATGCTTGTGCTTCTCCTTCAGTGCCATTTTATGCACTGCCTTTTACCTAAGGCTTCTTATTTATAATTAATGGCGCTATAAAAAAAAAACGTACCACCCCAGGTGAACCACGTAGTTACCGAACGGCATGCTTGAGAAAAAACGTCTGCACGAAATGATCTCTGTTTTGCCGTGAGGGCGCATCCCAAGCTGTCGTCTTAAATTTTCTGAGTCACCACTCAAATCCTTTACAGCGTTCGCTCTGCTAAACAGGAAAAAGTGGAGGGCTTTGCGCGAGGAGCTCATTCTCTTATGGTTGCAGGTATCCTTCTCTAAACCACTGTAGTTTTTTTTTTTTATGTTGGTGACTGTGGTGCATTATGTCATAGGTTATTATTGTATAAATTGTATTGTTATAAATTATGAATCGCCTTTCGTCGAACAGATGTTTTTATCTTTTAAATTTATCGTAAAAACGGCAACAAATGTAACAAGATAACTAAGTCTGGCAAAGTATCGCGATACAATGGATATATTATAAATGTATTTCACAATTGAGATTCGAATACATTTTTTTTAAATGCACCTTGATACAGATATACAGGAACACGAAAGTTCGTCTAAGATACTATCGCGATATATTTGTACTTGTACCGCGAAACTACCCAGCCCTGGTTTCATGTCATAAGTGGCTGAAATATTGGAATGTCTTATGAACATCAAAAATCTTAAAATATGCTAAAATATTGCCTGCCTACAGAGAGATTGAAAGCGCTTAAAAATGCAAAGTTTCTGTAGCTAAAGTCTGCCCCTTTATATTTTAAAGTTTAATGGTTGCAGCAATCAATAAGAAAAAGGTGAAGTTGAAGGCGGGCTAGGGAATACTACTCTCTCATACTGTTAAGACTGATCAACCATGGAAGCCTTTTATATATGCAAGACCCTCAGCCGACGCATAAAAAAACCCTTCCTGTTGTCCTCCGCTTTAGCTCGACTGCAGAACCCTCAGTAACTACTGTAAAACATAATCCTTTTGGACTAAACAGCGTTAGCGAGCCTCCTCCGGAAGCACAATTTCGGGTAAAAAAACATTTAACCGAAGGGTAAAAAAATATATATATATATTTTTTTTTTTCACCGTGTAGTACAACCTCCTTCTTCTGTTGTAAAAATATTCTTGGTACAAAATAAACCTAATCTGTCCGCGTGAAAGGACTCTAAGAACTGATAAAATTTATTACTTAGACAGGTTTTAAATAAACTGGTGCTGCATCCAGCAACTGAGCGTGTTTAAATATCTTTGTTAGTTTGAAGTGATGATACTAGAAATGACAGTATTATTTTTTATAATCATCCGGAGATAACTCACCCAATTTTGGTGATTCTGATGATGCTGGCGGTATATCTTCACGCTTATCTAGAAAAGAAAATCAGGTAACTGAATGCACCCTAAATATTACAGTCCGTCTTCCCATATGTTTAATAATTATAAAACACGGCGCATAAATCTGTACTCATATTAAAAAAAAATATTGTGCGTCATCGGAACGTAATCCTGCAAGGTGCACGATGATGTCGCAAGGATACCAGCAAGCCTCATATCCAGACCACCACCTACTATGAAAAGAAAAAAAAACGATAGCCAGTTTTTTTTGTTTCATCCTACCCCAGCAGCTTATGGGTTTCCCCTTTAAAGGAAAGGGGGAAGGCTAGCACAAGGAGCACAGTTTGTCTCTGCGTCCAAAAACTACGTGTTTGTTGACTTCAATGGCAAGACGCTTCTAAAGGCCAACAACAAACTCCAAGATAACGGCACTGCCTTTATTGGCAAAATCATCACTCGGAGTCCGAGCTGCCACAATAGGTAGAATGATGGAAGGCAGAGGGTCTAGACAAGAAATCAGGGCTCCGTAGAGCCGAGCCCCCCAGCGAGAATGCTCGGACGTTTTTTGGGGTCGGCTTATATAGCCAGCGGGAATGGACGCGCCCGGGTTTTCGGAAGTAGGTTCGTCCCCAAAAGGGGAGAAGCGTTCAAGTATCAAGGTCACGAAAGTGTGCGGTGGAAAGTCACCCGAGGAAAGTGAGTCAGAGCCGTCCACAATAGAATGCGGCCTGGCTTCGCATCGAGAACTCGCATCGACATGACGACGCCTCATGGCCTGCCTGAGCTAAGCCTAGATAAGGATGGGGGACACGCGGTTCCCCTAATCTTAAACATCATACATATTTGCGCAATAGAATGTGCGGATTTTTTTCGCACAGTTACGCTCTCTTGCTCGATGCTGAGGTGCCTGAAGAAATTAAAAAAAGAGGTCCCGGGGTCAGATTGCCTTTTCAAAATCCGTAAGACTAATATCTTGAGTAAAGAATTAAAAAAAAATGTTTTAGGATAATATCATTGCACAACACATAACCATCTCCAAGACACAGTGTGAATGTTTCTCGTGTCAAAAATTTTTCAGTCGATTTTACTTACCTGCACAGGACCAGCGCGTTAATCGACCCGATGTAACCTCGTTATAACTGAATAAACCGTCTCTGCACTTGAACGAATAGTTATCTCCAACTTTCTGGCACACATACATTCCGTTTGATTGATTCAACTGTTTTTGGAAAAATTCTGTGCACAAATCTTCCTCTTCCACTGAAAACAACAAAAAACATGACAACGTAAACGCATTATATTATAACAAAGAATTCTGCATAGTATACAATGCTGACTATTAAGGTTAACAACAGTTGAGACAGTAAAAACCCCTGACGACACAGAGTACTTCTTTCGAATTAGAGGCTCGCAGCATAATTCAATTTTATAGGTCATCGCTATCTTCTGTTCCCCATTGCGAAATATCAAAACGATGACGAGCAATTTAAGTTTTTCTTAATAACAACAGCAACGCTCAACGAGTTGGTGAAATGTTTTTATTCGAACTTATTATAGGAATATTAAACTCCAATACGTTTAATATTGGCCAGCTTCACTAGATGTCGTAGAGGTAACTAATATCTTCAGTTGAAGGAGGTTTTATCGGTATTGTGTTCAAAAGCTGCGATAATTATTGCAAGATGTGGATACACGGATTGTTTTGAGATAACTGACGAATGGTGTCAAATTTGTTAACACATTTTCTTAAAATATTAACCGGACAAAAATTTCACCGTTTGAGTCTACATTAAATTGTTTCCGTAAACTTTATACCTTTATAAATCTTGCCATCCTCGTAATTTACAAGAACCGAAATTTAACGCTTATAAACATGTCTCTAAATGTCCGCATCCAGCGAAACGAAATGGTAATATATTTTGGATATCTGCGTGTCTTTCTGGTTTTGTTTGAACAAATAGTAACCGCTTATCGTTATCTGCTTTTTAAATAATTACAATTAGTGCTAATAACTGACATATAAACAATATCGTACATGTAATTTTTATCGTGTCGGGTATTGTTTAGGCAAAGACAAGTGTATCTGTAAACAGTACACATATTTATTATCTGTACAACCTGCCGAAATTCAATAAATCATTTAAAATATCGAACCCAGAAATGGCGGAATATCTGGGTTATCGAAGGATATTTAATTGCCCAAAGAAATCTCGCAAATAAAAAAATTAGTAAAAACAAAAAAAAGACTTCTATTTAATTATTTTGATTAGACATCCTAAATTACGGCTCCCTTAGTGAAAATTGTAGTTTTCTTTAAGCGCCTTTAAACTTAATTTATTACGGTCTTTAAATGGACTTGTGGATGAGGTGTATAAATTAACGTAAAATATTGTCCTATGGAGCATACTATGTATTATTTCGCTATTACTATGGCTCTCTGCCATATTAACTGTAAAATCTTCATTTGTCCCATTTTGTTTTTACAAACATTACGTCACTATACCCAAAACAATTTACCCGTGAAAGTATTTCTACGCATTGACATTGTTGTGGGTTGTCGACAGTAGTATGCTAGAAATGATATCCAGTTAAAAATATCTGTAACACGATAATAAACAGTTAAATTGCACATCAGCGAAATATTATTTCCAATATTCAACATGTTTTAAAATAAATTAGATGCTTCTGCTTTGTGCATTCTTGTGTAACTTTTGAATGTATGCTGTTCTATAATTCGAAGCATCCAAATTGATAATTATAATTTTGCAATTTTGAACGCGTGCTTTAATTGAAGGATCCCGAATAGCTGGGAGTTTAAAACAGCTTCATATATACGACCTCTTCATATGTTTCATCAGTGTTGCGGGGTCACTTCTTGACGAGTCAACGTCTCTGAAGAATTAAAAGCAATATTTACATGAACTGATCTAAAGACCTAGGTTAGAGAAACAGTAAACCATAACAATGTGTCACTTATTTCTCCCAAATGCAAATTCCCAAATACAACAGCAAAACTACAAAGTCTGATTGATCTTATCACGTGCATTAAGAACGCGTAATCATATCAACATAATATAATACGCACGTTTGGCGGATCCTTCCTTTATGTAGAGCCTTGGAGGGAAAATACAAACGTCGCCACGGAGGTACTGGCACGTTTCTATACGCTTGAGGACCGCCGGATCTTGCTTTTGTGAGAATGCTAGACGAATAACGAAGTCCTCTCTGAAAGCAGCATATAAATTCACGTGAATAAAATAGTTTGTTACGTGACTCTGATATTAAAAATTACAAGGTCAAAAGATATCCTTCCATAATTTGTGTTTATATTTTTAATTCCCACATCATAGTCATTACTGTAAATCCACGGTATAGTATGAAACCCATAAAAATGCGAATAAGGTAGGAATAATCGCAATGTTCGAGATGATAATGGGTATCTTAAATTATATCTTATCAGTATATATACTGCTTTCTGCTATTTATTATATTAAAATATATCAGTCACTTTTGATGACAGATATAGCTTGAAACACAACCTTTATAACAAAAAAAACAACAGTAAGTGCATGAATTATTAAAAAACATATGTCCATCTGACAGCATTGGTCATTCATGCCTTTTGAGATGAATAACGCAAATTAAAAGAAATTAATAAATATTTTACCCTACCACTATTCATATATAACTCGCAGCTAAGTTTTAATGTGTTCCAAAATAAAACATTTACATAAAAAAACTTATTGGGTGATCAGATCAACGAAAGGGTGGCTGGTCGACATGCTTAAATCCACTGATGTTTTTATATGCCATTGTCTAGTGTCTGGTATAAACGAATCCACACATAGTCTTGACCAGAAAAAATAAATCGGGGAAAGTCGCAAGGCATGAAGAGGTGGACAGTTGCATTAACGCGCACTGATGGAGGAGGCACGTTTCAAAGTGAATAACTAAAACGATAAGATCAGGAAGATTTTAATACTTTTAGAAACAAACTATGGTTACAGCTTGCTTGTAATATATAGTCATTATATTTATTTAAATTACATTTATATTTCTAATAGTTGCCAACAAGCCTGCTTGAACGACAAATGGCGAAATTTGGAGCCCTGCATTTCATGAAATAATTTAATCACCATCATATACTTTTCAGATAATATTCTACTTATAAATGGCCATAATTTAAAATATATATTATGTCACTGAGTGATACGATAGCCGTTATATATTTCCGCCAACATGGGGGAAAGAGTCAGATAACAAAAAATCCCCGTGCGAATAAAAAAAAACACCACCTTTGATTTTGTTTTAGATTTGGGAACCCTCTCGTACTTTATTTCAACATTCCATTCTATTAGAAACATGTTGCATTATTTAGTTGAAAAAGAAGACATAACTCCCCAAAAGAAGGTCCTTTTTCAAAGCCTACACTTAGCAGTTCTGTATACGAGAAGTTACTCTAGGTTCCAGTTTCAGGAAACTAACACTCATCTTTACTACATTTTTATTCAGATGAGGTCACTAACAGCTAGACCAATCGGTCACACAGTAAAAGTGAGAAGAAACTGTGTACAGCTTTTTGCATACAGCGTACAAAGAGGTATCATATTAGAGACTAGTGATTCGAGAAAAGATGATGCAGTGCGACGTTTTACATTCCGGTATATATTATATTTAAAGTCAAAGAAATAGCTTTACTTCCCCACACAGAAATAAATATAGAATACTAAAATTGTTTAGGTTAGCTATGTATTTCCGGGGACAAGCCATTTCGGGTGAGGGGTGCCACCGCGCCGGACTGTAAGAGCTTGGACACTCTCGGTGTACGAACGGATCGTGGCAAGCCGAGATATTTTATCCTGCTTGACGATAACGTTTCGTGGTTCTCATATGGTGATAAGATAAAGATTATAAGCTATCATAAAGTAAAACAGTAGGTTAAATACCCCGCGAAGAAAACTGTGATAAATAAGATGTCCCTGCATCCAAAGTGAGCAGTCCTTACGGAATCAAATTTGGCACTTTATGCTGAGGCTTTCTTTGATGTACTCATTTAATAAAGTTTCTTCTAATCAGATCCGACTGTCCGTGCTACATATATGTCACAGGTTTTTTTTCTGTTAACGACTAGCTCAGCCACCAACTGTGAAAAGACTGAATGCCAGGAAAGGCGTGCACCGTCAGCCACTCTTACTTTTTTGTTGGCGATGCCGAACAACCTCGTTTTCGTCCAGATACACAAGATGCACCCAGTTTCTCGGATTAAACGCTAACCATTGTCGTGGCCGTCTGAATGGCGTTTATGGAACGTTCTGTCAGGTTGTTCAGCGTGGCCTGGTGCTTCATGAGTCCTCCAACTCCGTCGCATTCATTTTCCCATTTCCAGGTGAAGAAAATAAGCACTGGGCTTGTGGGCAATCTTTCAGTGCAAACTGGTGAAGCTGGTAGCAATTTTTAAAATGACTGGCGGCCCCGTCTCTTAAGTATGTCACGTGCGAGTATACCGCAACGTTGTCTTCAACCCACTCTTTCACTTTTTCTAGAGACAAGCACGTGTGAGCGGCGTTGTTACACACGTCCTTACTGATGATAGCAAAGATGTTCGTACATTTTCTTGTCGTCACTACGCATGTAAATATCGTAACTTTTTTCCCACAAGCCCTAAACTCGTTCAATACAAAATCGAAGCCGAAAGTTGGCAGAGCTCGCCAATTGGACGGCGGAGGCAGAAGCGCGAAGTCATCGTCGTGATAGTCGAATCGGCGCGTTCCGTGAACTTCGGCCTCAACTTTGTGCATGAACAGTTTAGAGCCCCAGTGATAGGCTTGAACTTTGTCAGGAAGCAGGATGTCCAGCTTTCAGCAAATTCGAAATGAAATACAATGCTCCCGCGTTGCGTGTACTGCTTTTCATCGTAGCTCGCTTTATCTTGCGTTTGTCGGATATGGTTGTGAAATATCCAACTTTCAACCGTTGCTTCAATGACTTTTAGAAAAGTCTCAGGATTCAATGTTTTTTTTCACTAGGTCGCCGAACTCCCATGTTGAAAGCACAATCTCTTCATCCTCTGGGAGATGAAGTTCTTCGAGTGTAACAGACTGGCCTTTTGGGCAGCGATCACAGTCTCATTAAACACAGACTTGTTAGTGGGTCACACAGAAATGCTATGTTTATTTCACCAGTGTTGAATGTTGAGCGGGTAACGTTCTCTACAGTGGAAATACAAAGGTAATAATTGGTGCAGCGCACACAAACGCACACTTCCTGGTGTGGAACACATTTGACCCATCTAGGGCGCAAGGAATAAAATTTCGTTAGCCGAACGCTGAAATAAGGATGCTTTTCTTTGTATACACGAAAGGCCTCTCGGATTGAGCGTGTCAGGAAGCACTTTGGCACGAACGTTTTCTCCCCTTCAAGCATGAGACAGATCACGTCCTTCTGGTTGGGACCTTGTGGCGAACATTATAGCTCGTCTTTCGTGAACTACTCTAGAGCAGCAAACATCTTTTCAGGGCTCACTTTGCGCCTCGTGTAAGGATCCGGCTCATACCACACGCCATGCTTTTCCTTACCTAGAGCTTAAGAACTGTAGCCATGTTAATCTTTCCCAAATCAACATGGTGACAGTGTTTACGCTCTATTGTATTAAGGCGGGGCTCAAGCATTTGGGGATTCTGCTGTCTGTCGGTGTGCCCCTTTGTGCCTGATATTATCACCCGTGACGCCAGTGAGTGTTATGGTGACAGGCACGACTGCTCAGTAAAGAGGTATCGGCGACCATAGTTACTGGTTGAAGTGAACCCCCTCATCCTTGACAGCGAGCGAGGAAATTCGAAAAAATATTGTATCAGCTGTTTTTCTAGAACTAGCAACGAGTGTCGTCTGCTACTTCCCTCAACTATTGCGCCATGATCGTGATCTTCGTGAAGAAATGATTGAATATGTTTTTATTCTAGATATAACTCAGGGATATATAAGAGAGAGAGAGAGAGAGATGGAGATAAAGGGGAAGAGAGGAGAGCATATAGTGTCGTAGAAAAATGAAGTAAACAAAGTTCCCAGTGGCCGATGGCTGCAGGTTATTTACTCTGATCACTAGTTCGTAATATGATAGCTCTTTGTACACGGTAGTTTCTCCTCACTTTTACTGTGTGAACCATTGCGATAGTTATCAATGGCCTCATCTGAATAAAAATATATAAAATACGCGAGATAGTTTCATGAAACTAGAACTCAGGGTCACTTCTCGTATAGGGCACTGCTAAGTGTAGGCTTTGAAAAAAGACCCTACTTTGGGGAGTTGTGTGTTATTTCTCAACCAAATAATGCAACCTGCTTTAATAGAAATTAATGCCGATATAGAGTATGAGAAGGTACCCAAATTTAAAAAAAAATATCGAAGGTGGTGTTTTTTTTTATTTGTATCAGACTTTTTTGTAGTTTGATTTTTTCTCCACACTTGCCTAAATATATCCCGACTATAGCATCACTCAAATACATAATATATTTTTAAATAATAGCCATATACAAGTAAAATACTATCTGAAAAATATATGATCATGAGTTAAGCCTTTCGTCGTTCAAGCAGGCATGTTTGGCAATTTTTAGAACAATATACGTAACTTAAATAAATGATATTACTATATAAAATAATCAAACTGTACTTATGGTTTGATTCTGAAAAGTATTAACATTCTCCTAAATTTATTGTTTCAGTTATCCACTTTCAAACGTGCCCCCCATCAGTGCGCATTAATGCAACTGCCCACCTCTTCATGCCTTGCGATTTTTCGTCTCCCCAAATTTTTTTAGGTAAAAACTAAGTTTTGATTCTTTTATACTAGACACTAGACAATGGCATAAAAAATATCAGTTTATTTAAAAATGTCGACTAGCCACCCTTTGGTCGATCTTATTTGAAATCACCCTAGTAGTCCAATAAATTGTGTAATGTATTGTGTTTTTACTCAACTAAATTTAAAATAATTTTATCTTTGAGTAAATATTTCTAAAAAAATTTAGGCACTTTTTTCACTTTAGTTATCACACACTTTAATTTAATTTATTTTCCTTATTCGTACTACAATGCACTCTCAGAAATATCCAAATTTATTTATCATTTTATTAGTCCCTCTTTTAAAAACACTCTTTAATTTCCATTCATTTTACTTATCGGCAATACATCCTCAGAATGATCCAAACAAGAAAGTTTGTATATATAGGAAAGCTAAAAAAACAAACAGCTAAATGTAAAAAATGAATTAGCGAGAAACCACACACGCGTGCTCAGGAATCAAACCTAATGTCTCATGTCACTCATGTTACTAGCATAAACACGACTTGCTAGGAGTTGAAAAAATAAAAATTTAAAACTTAGGACGAACAGTGTATGAAAGGCATAATGAAACACCGCGGTTCAGAACAAAATAGCCTGCTGAAAGATGTAAGTAGGCACAGAATGCATAAAAGAAACTTACTTGCAACTTAAGAGGGTATCATCCACCAGTTGTGCTCCAAAAAGTGTCTTTAACTGTGAACAGTAAAAACAAAATATTGTTGTATTCCAGCTCTCGCAGGTTTTGCATCGAATGAATGATATAATACATTATTTCTATAAGTTATTATAGACCATAAAAATGCCCATGTGTCTACCTTCCCACATAATACTGGGAGAGCCAATCACCGCTATTTGCGGAGGCAGCTCAGGGAATCACGATGCCGAAACATATGTTTTATATATTTAGACCGAAAAACTCAGTCCGAGTTGTGACATTGCGCAGTGCAAGTGTGATGTTTTGCATTGCTTGATTCCACAACTCAGAGTGATTTTCTTTGTCTAAACGTGTGTTTCGGCATCGTGATTCGCTGAGCTGTCTCCGTAAGTTGCGGTGATTGGCTCTCTGAGTGTTGTGCTGGGAAGTAGACGCACTGACTTTTTTTAAAGTGTACTAGTTGAAGTTTGAATATAATAAATGCGTAACTATTAGTTCACATATTTAAGAGATTACGTTAATGAGATCAAACACACAGGCGAAAATTACATTTTTCTGGGCTTCAGCCCTGCGTATATCGACCGCCTACTCTGCACAATGAGAGCGACATAACTTTGGACTAGCGACGTCATTTTCTAGTTAAAAACAAACTGCTATCTGGTGGCCAAACTCACCGGCAGAACTAAGGTTATTCTCAGTGTGTATTTGGCATTACGTGGCTACAAGGTTTCGCTGATTGAAGAGGCAAATTTTTTTACTTCCTCGGTGGAAAAGTTCGAGGTATGCGTCTTGTCAAAGACTGTGACGCTAATGTTCCAGAATAGAGAGCTGTGCTACTCTTCACTAGCAGTTATCGTGGCGTCTACAGATAACTCAGCAACTCGTTTTATTCAGATAGGTTGGCTTTTTCGGTCAATGAAACTTAGCATTATATATAATAACAAATGCCGGTCATTAGAGCTAGCTCAAAGAAGAACCGGTCGGGCAGTGAAGGTGCTCCACAGAAAGCCAATGGCACGCTAGGCCGCTGGGAGCTGCGATTTCTTGAAAGTACGTGGGAATTGGGGGAGATAAGTAGCCTACATACAATGAACTGCCTAATCACTAACGTGTTTACGCTAACTTGTGTTACTGCTGACAGGCAGGAAATTAAATTATACAACTCATTAAATGTGCGTTATTTGGGACACACCGACGCACTTACCCCCGGAGATGCTTTGAGGGCAACGTCAACCGTAAGCCACGGACGGGCTGTTTATCAACGCTTCTGTGCCATGATTCATTTTAACCGTCACCTTAGCGTGAAATCGGCTCCCCATCAAACTAATGGGAAACTATCAGGTTTGTATTATGGGAACATATATCATCTCCGATGGAGCAAGAAAGAACAACAAGCAGTGAGAGAGTGCAGGCGAGCTGGTAATCAATCGACATCTTGTAAACCCTGAGATGGGGAACGATAAAAAAAAACGGACGAACACAACAAAATCTCAAGATTTTGTTGTGTTCGTCCGTTTTTTTTATCGTTCCCCATCTCAGGGTTTACAAGATAACAACAAGCGTTCTTTTTGAAGTGCAAAGATTTATCACAATAACGATTATTTAAAGAAAACGGTACCAAGGACTTTCCGGCCATGCTTAAGCTATGTAAATACATTTCTACCATAAATAATACTAGTCTCAAATAACCTTGTTTTTATCTTGCATATTCTACGATAAAATTAGCCGAAACTCCATTGGAAAAAGTTAAAAACACTATACATTTTTTATCCCACTGAAAAACGACAGTCCCGCTACACAGCAAAGAAAGTGGACAGCAATTTACTTAGTTTATTAGTGGCATCTTATTAATCTATTCTGAGCTAAATATTCCGGAATTCTAACGTGTACATTTTTAGCCTCGATTGGCATACTATGTAATATGAAATTCAGCCAAATATGAAGAATTTCAGGTAGACTTCTACATTTTTTTCTTGACCTCATCACCTACCGCACCTACTTATTTTTTGTCAAGCTGAATATTAAATGCTGTTATTACGAGTTGACAATATTCTCAGTTATATAAATGTTTATCAGTGAGTACACATTGCAAAATGGTGAATAAACTTGCCGCTTTCTGAATGTCTTCTTTTTTGCTTTCGCAGAAATCATCGGTGTAAGGTGACGTATCATTGGTACGGAAAGTCAGAATATATGAATATTTTTCTGCAAAAGAAACAGTGAAACTTTTTGTAGAAACAACATAAATGTGTCACTTTGCAACTTAAGTAATTCCTGCATCAATATGCATAGATTTTGTTGGATACGTTTTTATGTTCTCTTTCATTCATTCATTCATTCATTTATCTTTCGTGCTCATAAATGACAAGTAGCATAAGTAATGATGCACACAGTCAAAAGGAGCATACACAAGAAATCTACGTCATTTGCAACAAATAATATCTATTATAGAGGAACACGAAATGGGTAGCAGTTAAATATCAGCCATTGAACGCCTAAACGCTTGAACACTTGAAATGAAAATGGCGATGCTGGTTGTACTGAACGTGTTATAAAAATGTTGCATGTGGTTCATAAGACTGGACAGATTGATTTTTTTTAACTGAGAAAGTGGAATTTACTTTCAAAAGCACTCGCGCTACATGTTTAATAATAGCTGGTGTGAGGGTTGAACAATCAATGAGACCATGAACGCATTTATACAAAAATATTAGATTTCGCCCAAGTCTTTTCCACCTTAGTGTATATACAACCACATCGTATTAAAAGCCTGTTCTGGTCGTAATAAATACTGCGGCCAATGTAGCGATCATAAATATTACGAAAGAAACGTCTCTGCACGTTTTTTTTTTACCTGGTTAGCACAACCAATACCATTCCAAACGACCGAACTAAATTCAAGCTTGCTACGTACTAATGAAAGATACCAAATTAATATACAAGGTGACGTAGGAAATTTACGCGTTATTTTCGAAATAACGCCTACCGGCTGATAGGCAGCATTTGTAATGTTAAAACAATGTTCTTTGAATCACAATGATGAATCACTATATACTTCTAAATCTCTTGTGCATTCGACCATACGTAGAGGTAGGTCCTTAAGGTAGTAACAAAACTTATGATTTCCAATTTCTTAGAAAAGGGCATAACTACCGTTTTTTTTAGGATTTAGTGTGAACAGATTGCTGCAACACCAATGGTCTACAGCATTAACATCTTCGAGTAGCATTTTACAGTCACATATAGATGAAGCCTGCCTAAACAATTTGATGTCGTCAGTATATTGCATAATATGTGAATGACGGACACAAGAACCTAGAATATTTATAAATACATTAAATGAATTGTCCCTTTTATGGACCTCTGGGGAATACCAGAAGAAGACACCGTAAGGTCTAGATGATATTCTAATATTCGAACGAAGTTTTTGTTTCAATCAGATAGTTTGAAAAAATGACAAATTTAGTTATTTACTCCATGTACCCCCAATTTATGTAAAAGAATTGAATGATTCACCAAATTAAACACCTTCGACAGATCAAAGTATATGGGAACTACCTGCTCACACTGGTCGTCAATTGGCGAAATGAAGTCTAAAAATGACACTAGATTGGTCTCTACAGACCTGCCAGAGAAGAGACCATGTTGTGAAATGCTAATTTTGCATTAAAAAATTGTGATAAATGTTCCAAGAAAACGATTTTAAAAACTTTCAAAAAAGCACAGACCAAGGATACCGGTCTGTAATTCTTTACGTCAACGGTCTTGCCACCTTTGTGAACAGGCACAATGACATAATTTTTCCAAAGTTCGAGAAAAGTGAAACTTCATAGAGACAAGTTGAAATTATGCGTTAATATTTGCGTTAAAATTGAGGAACAACCTTTAACAATAAAGATTGGGATGTCATCAAAAGCCATTGATAGCGTGGGTTTAGTCTTTTTGTAGCAATCTCAATTTCAGCGTTCTTAAAAGACGTAATTGTAAGGTTATTATTACACTTGTTATTATCATCCGGCGTGCATGACGCGGCTTGGTTAGAGAGTAAACAAATTCGAAATAATCAACGAATGCGTTTGACACACATGCAGGTTCATTCAGCACCTTACCAAATGCGTCACATAGGCTTATCGCAGAAGAGGACGTGGTCATGCGATCATTGTTGTACCGCCAGATATACTTGAGTTCACGGTTTAAGCTGCGTTCAACTGACTCGCGATAGGATTCCTTGTCCCGCTTGATGAATAGTTTAGCTAACGCTCGTGATTTCGAAAACTTATTGTAACAGAAGTGTGTTCGTTGGACTTTATATTTTCTATGACAGTGCAGTTTTTTTGTAAGCTCGGACCTAAGCTCGTAAGGAAACCGATGAGGATATCGCGATTAACCACGACGCTTTTTGGAACAAACATTTTGATGGCGTTCTTATTATAGTTAGTAACTCGAGAACAAAATTTGCAATACTTATTTCATATACTGGTGCCCAATCAACGCTATCTAAAAATATGAAAAGGCCAAGATAATTACCTCTATCAAAACCGAACGATTCATAGCTTGTATTCTTTGCTCTCCTGAAGGAAGCTTTGAAAGAAGCGGAGAAGGGGACGGTGCCACTCATCGGGTGATTAAGGGGCTTAAACACCGGTACGAGGGCATGAACGTAAAAGTGCACTAGAACCAGGTCCAGTACGGTTTTCGCCGGGTTCTGAAAGCCATTTAACTGCTTCAATCCTAGATAGTTCACAGAATACAGTAGAGTGTTCACCTTGGATGTTACACAGCCACAAGTAGAGAAGAAATTCCAGTGAAAGGGGATCTCCGGCAAAATATTTATGGTCATTGATTTTTATAAAATATTCACTATAAACGCAATTATAGACTATTTTAGGTGTGTCTGCGAAATACTTAAATAAAATATTTATTTTCTTGGGAGAAAATTAAGTTTGAAGTTTATACGCACACCCCCGAATCAGTTGCTGCCCCTCTACTGGTAACAACAAGCAGGGATACCAGTGACATCAAATGCTGTATGTAAGGGCAGATGACGCTCCCTACTGCACGGCGTTGTGCGTTGTAGTGATAATGAACGTTGTGGTATTGCGAATCGCGCCTGCTTCAGGCTGTTTACGTCATACCATGGAGGGTGGGGTAAATAGGTGATGTGCTGTGGGGTACAATAACACTGAGAAGAAATGTAGCTGAGTGACATCTTATTGGTTTACGACTGAGAAGTCTCTGCGATGGAAGTGGGTCCATGAAGACCGACGCCAACTCTGGCTCCTAGCATTCGCGTAGTGACGGAAGACAGTTCATATCTTGCTATAAAATAAAACTTTCCATGCCGTTCGGCTTAGAAACGGCATCTGGGTTCACATGTCGACGGATCGCGAATTCACCCACACGAGAGGTCCCCTGGATGTGGTGCCGGCACATCGAATGCGAGCGGCGAATCGTCTGAAATTACGTGCTCAATATTTTAAAGTATTTTTTGGACATTGCTTGACTAGAACGAGCTTGATGAATCGTATTCCATTATTTTCCATGACCAACCACGACGGCCTTCTGACTGCTTCTGGCGCGGGAAATACAGGCTCAAGCTCCCCATGTCTTGATGTTTATACAACATCTGTCGTCACAGCAGGATGGCGAACGATCAAAGTTGCATGCTAGTTTCGGTTTGGGTTATTTCAAATTTTAACCATTATAAATTTTACAAAAAAAAAGTGTTTTGGGCAATTTGTTTGCTGTTGTAGGTTCAGTTTCTTCTGCTCTTTCAGAAAATGTGTTTAGTTGAGAAAGATTATTGACGCGGACCTCTATGGCCGATTCTCACGACAAACTGATCCGCGGACTGATTAATTGCTTGACGGCACGTCCGCGGCTTGTACGTCTCCCAAGCGCATCCACACGAAGGAAACGACGAGCAGACGCCAGCGAGGACGGACCGAACCTGTTCGTCACGCAGAAGTGCCGCGGAGCTCCAACATTACACTGTGGCACCATTCTCTGAGAGAAAAATCGACGTTTTGCTACAGCCATAAAGAATCGTGCGCACCTGTTACGTACAGGGGGAGAAAGAACACCTTCATAGGCTTTGCGGGAAGCGCCACTAGCTTTACTAACCCAAGATATATCATTGGCACAGGCATGGTCCTGCTCAAAAAAGCTTCGGTGTAGAAGCGACGAAGTTTTGGAATCACGGTTGGGTGTTTGGAGATGCCTTCACGCGCTCCGCGCTCGACTACAACACTTCAGTAAGCCACAGCCACAAAAAAAGGTCTTGCCGGGTTAAAGGCTGATTGGACGTGCAAAAAAGATCACAGAGTTTTAGACGAGTTTTGAAAAACCCCTCCTTGACATGAACCCGAAGGAATACCGGAACCTGCGTCGTGTCAGCCGGCAAAACGTTCAGCAGCTTTTTTCACGCGTAGAACCGAGAACCGCGCTATAAAATGAAACACCTAACGCACAAAATACAATGCTGCATTGCCCCCCAAAAATTAACTAGTGAAAAAGCTCTCGGCCAATTCAGTCCGCGCGTCCGCGGACGAGGTACGGGTCACTGGAATAGGCGACGTGACAGTCATGTGGTATACGGAGTGCGGACGAAAATCTCGATTTGGTCCGTCGTGTAAATCGTCCACACACGTTCGTTCACTTTGAAAACTCAAAAAATCTCCAATTGAGTTTTTTTTTTTTTTTTAAGAAGCAGAACATTGTGTGATCTCGAGTAAAATGGTGGGATGTCGACATCTTATTCACATAGGTTTATGCCATTGTATCGCCACTAGTAGAAACAAATTCGAATATAATATTATTTTCCGAAGGATTTCTGGAAACTAAAATTTGTAGACTATGAAGAGGTCTAAACTTGCCTAAAAGTGCGCCGCCAAAGTTGTTTATTGAGTATTAAATAACTTATATACCAAGTAATATGGCTATACGTTCAGTGACGTAATATACTTGGAAAGGATATGAATTAGTTCTTCGAAATATTAGTTCTTGCTAAATTTATTACGGGCATTGCGAAAGCAGGTACCTTGAAAAAAAAATCATTTATCCCAGGTACGATTTATGGTGTTTTTATTCATGTTTTTATTCATGTTTTTAAAACATATTTCGTAATGGGATTGAGGAAGGATGTACATCACCACAACAGAGCGCTTTTTCAACTGCACGGGCGGTGTCTTGTACGTAAAACGATTCCGGCTACAAGCTAATTAAATTAAGACATGATTTTATTTCATTATTGTTCCTATGGTTCCATTAAAACAGCTATAAAATAATGTGCACCTAGAGGAGAAAAGTACTTAATAAGTTTACTTAAATTGTTTACATGATGGTTGCTTTATATAACCGTTTTTTAAAAATTTTACAAAACTTTTTGTGAAACACATTTACTATTACGGATATTAACAACTTTAGGTGTGACACTTCAATCCTTCACTAAACGAGACTCATATTTAAAAGAAGATCATCTCTTTATAGCAGACAAAATATGAAGTGCCACATGGCGGAACCTTGACATTTTTTTCCTTAACACGGATTGCCTAATTATATTTAAATGTGATATCGCATAACAGCGACCGGGACTAAAACATTATTATGATGAACAAGGGGGTTTCGTCTGTTAGCACCCTACTGAAGTGCTAGCTTCCTTTATGTATTATTCATCCGTCTTATTTTATGGTTATGTATTTATCACTGTCACATGATACGTCTGTGATTGTTGTAATGAAGAGAACATTCATATGTTAACAGATGAGCATAAAATTAAGCTCGCCACAATTTATGATTGGATCCTTCCTAAATCTTCTCAAGTGCTTACTTGTACCCATGGGTGACGTGTTAGGGTTACAACCCCAATTGCGAGTAATATATGGCAGGGAATGCGACCCTCTAAAGTACTGTTTTTAGGCATATACTCTCTTTAGTCAACTGTAAACGCTGTGGTGAAGCCTGCATTTCTGGCCCAAAGATTGGGTCAAATTAAAACGCCAATTATTGAACGTGTATTCTATAGCATAAAACAAAATGCCTGCCAATATACATACCATGGGTTACCGAAATTGGTGAAATGAGAAGATGAGCAGTTTGAAATAAGGTGATCCCAATTCACTAATGAACAGTACGAAAGTCTCGTTTTTAATCCGGCAGAAATAATTGTTTTGAAAAATCTGTAGTAAAAAGAATGGTTATTTTCGCAACTAACGGCCAATTACATTTGTTTTCAAATGATCAAGTAATATAATTAAATGCTTTTTAACAAAGAGTAAATGTGATCGTAATTGATTACTTTTCTTTGAGCAACATGTACACGACTGCTCCCAAAAAGCCAAGCCAAGATCCGTCTCCGAAGGAAACCTGATGCGCGAAGCTGACGTTCGCGGGCGAGCACGTGACCCTTCCTTTTTTTCTCGGCTTCTGAGATGTCTAGCGCAACGCAACTCTTCTGAAAGTTGAGCCAGGTTCAACTCTCTAGCGTCGTGGTACAATCGGCGCTATTGGACAGCGCGGGCGCTGCACGATTGTGCTGCTCTTACCGCAACCAGCCACTTCTTGCCACAAGGACGCCGTTCCGTTGCAAACGCGTTCGAACGGAAATGTGTGAATGGACTTTAAGTTTACTTGTTAGCGAGAGTCGAACATTTTACGTTTTTATATATTGGTTTTTGGAACAGCAAGTGTAATTACAGTTCCAAAACAATTTTTATGATATGCTAATGAAATTTAAGCAATTTGGTATTGCCAACAGGCTTCGTGGTGTTCGGTTTTCGCGTTCCTCTCGCCTGATTCCGGAACCGCCATGCCGAAACACCACAATAAATTACATCCTGTATGATAAATGGAGATCTGTGACGTCGTTTTGTGTTTCTAGCGATCATCCTGGAGGCGTCTGCTTGCTGCTTGTGCTGATACTACGCGTCCGATATAAAAAAATATATGTCCAAACTAAATACGCAGATCTTCCATGCATCACTGTGAACAATAGTTGCGGCGCTCTCTCTGCGTCTCGTTCTGAAATTATTTGTAAAAATAAAAAGCTAGTAATTGAATTTGTCGTATACAATAGCCCCATCGACAATTGTTTTATTTTGTATAGCACTTAAGAATAACTCCCTTCAAAAATTATTTGCAACCTGACTCTATAATTCAATGACTAACAAAGTGAATTAGCACGTGTGAATAATTAAGCAAAATGACCTTGGTGGCAATAATAATAATAATATTCATTTTCTTCTGTGCCAAAAAGCATCCTCGCAGTCGACTGTGCGGTGCGCAAAACAAAAGCAGCATTTATAGATATAACAAATACAACCGTATATAAGTCATTAATACTTTTAAAACAAAAAACCAAGAAGATGCTGACTAAGGGAATGCGCTTATAATGAAGACATACATTCGCGTACGTGCTCAATGACATGCCGGGGGGGGGGGGGGGAGGGGAAGGGGAGAAATATATCAGGTGCACGAACAACATTCAAAACAGTCTAATGTACGCTAAGCCCGATTAGCTCTCAGGGAAGCATTAATCCTTGAATTTGACACTACTGTCTTAAATAAAAGCATTCTAATCACACAAAGCACCTGGTTATAACCGCTATTCACTCTGACTGATATTTGTTCCCCAATCTGTGTACATACATTGCGTCTAGTGGGCATACAGCACTGTTATGTTAAAATTGTGAGTGTGTTTCATTCGTTCTACCCCAGAGCAGAAGCTGTTTAATAAAATTTGAACTATGAATCTCGTTTGTTTTCTAGTTCAGTTTTTGTACAAGGTGTTTGTACACGGTTAAAAAGCCGTGTACGCTACAGTAATGCAGGTTTAGCAGGTGAGTAATACGGCTAGGTTGGCATATTATAGAGGGGCAATTGCCAGGATAAGTCGGCTAGTAAAATAAGAGGTGGTATTTGGTCTTTAATTGGGAAATATAAACATGCTTCTAATTAAAAACTTGTTGCGCGTCTTTGAGAGCCACCAAATCATTCAACTTCAGAACACTTCGAGCAGGTTGGAAGCGCATTGAAGCGCTAAAGTTACCACCCTTGCTGCACGACGTTCAAGGCTTCCGGTACGACAACGCGACCGCTCGGTTTCTCCGTTTCTTCTCCGGGTTTTGTCTACGTCAGCCTCGGGCCTTTTGCACGAGTAGTAAAGGTCTCGGAATAGTGCGCTTCTCACGGTGCTCAAACTCTGTATAAAAATTTCTAATTTAGTGTTTTTGATTATGCTCAACAAGTTATGTAATTAAGACCTTATGTTTATTTTCAGTCAATAAAACGGTAATTACTAAATGTCAGTTAATTATCTCACTTCTTGTGACGATTAGCCTCCAATCTAATGTCTCCCTTATCATATAGCTCTCCTCCACTGACCGCATTAAAGTAGCTTTCACGGCTTTGTTTCTAAAACAAATCTGTAAAGCTATAAGAAAACACCCGGTATAAATTTCGATTGCAGCATACTACAGGCGGGGATAGGCTAAGACAGGGGTCTCAAACTCATTCGAGTGTTGGAGCCAAATAGCCCACGCACGAAAGATCGAGCGCAAACAAGGCAGGGGGGGGGGGGGGATATTTTGCCATACTGGGACAACAAACGAGCAGAAGTAGTGTTTTAACTTGCAAACCAGCCGACTGCCCTAGAGTCACACCAGAGATCTTCTAGAGAAGGAACTTTCTACTCTGCTTTTTCTAAGCTCAACGTTTTGACATCTGTAGCTTTCATTTGCATGTCCGACTAGCTTGGGCCCGCACCTGATGTTATAACGTGATTTAAAACACCAGCATACAGGACTTTTTCAATAGAACAAGAACGAGCACAGCGTGCTTGCAATGTCGCAAAATTCGCTAAGGTCGACAGACATAGAAAGAAATACCCCTTCATTCGGCAGTTTTTGCTTTGCTGACAAATTTTATAGCCGTATTATAAAAAAATATACTTGTATCTTCAAGGTATTGTCTGACAGCTCGAAGCCAAAGCTAATCACTTTATCTTTAGTAGTTGCTCCTGCTAAGAGAGAGTTCGTGTGGCCGAGGTGCCTTCTTGAGCAAGAAGCTCGCGCTTGTAGCCTATAGTAAGTTACAGGTCAAGATGGTAGGGCTATGAAAAGGAAGGCCGGGGAGGACGAAGTAGATGAAATGCTGGAGAGAAAAGGAGGTTAACACCTCTCCTCTCCAGCATTCCGTCTGCTTCGTCCTCCCCGGCCCTCTTCTCTCTCGCCCTATCTCCTTGAGTTGTAACGGACTATGGCACGGCTATCGCTGAGCCGGTTCATTTATATGAGAAAGGGCTGATAAGCAAGTATTTAAACGAAGCAGTACTCTATTCAGAAGAAAATAGAGCGCAATATGTGTAAACACGTTATATCAGCAGAGCTCCTTTTCAAGCGGAAATGAATCGACGATATTAAACTTTTATTATTTTTTTGCGCATATAGCGCTAGAGGCATGAGAACGGGGGCTCGCAGCCGCGGGATGCACGCGGGCCGCGTCCCGGCGAGTCGCAGGTCGTGTGTTTGAGACCTCTGGACGAATGAACTAAACCAGTGCTCTGCCTCTTACACGCCGTTCTTGTCCTTTGCCGGTCTTTGGCTGCGCGTGGGACGAAGTGTTATCAAAGGCAAAAAGCTGGCGCTGAATGTTTACCATGGTACCGAAGGTAAAACAGTTCTGATCCGAGTTATGACACAACATCGAATTTTTCATCACTAGATCCCTTCCCCGCAGCCTGGTAAAAACAAAAACAAAAAACTAGGTAATCCTTTAATAATGAGGAGTTAGAAATTTAAAAACAAACAATATCATATCAGATATAAATTCAGCGATCCTAAGCATTACTTTGAGAAATTAGTTCACGAGCACAAAAGGATAGAAAGCATCCTAAAGTTGTTAAAACTAGCTTCCGTTTGCTTTGAAGAATCTTAAGACATATAAATGTAAACGTTTTAAGGACATAAAATAAATTATAATTGATTAACTACCTAAAAAGACACTCGATCTGATTGCGGCGAAAGCAATAAACAACATATAAACAACAATTTTAGACAGTAGCGTGGTAGGCGTTAATCTCTTACCTAGTCCGCAAGTGTTATTTCCGGCGGGGAAAAGAGGTCTTGCACAAAAACATTTTTCCGTTCCTAAATAAACCTCACAATTTGCGAACGGGTCGGAACATTTCTTGACAAAACATTCATCTGAAAGGCAATATGAATTCAGCTTGTTAACCAATTCTTCACTTTTGACAGCTGAAATATTAGGCATCAACGCAGGTATTTTTATTGCGTGTAGTTTGTAAACAGAAAACATACCTCACTTTAACATCTGATACGTAAAACCACGTATATGAATTTTGTTTTTAACAAACGCAGAAATGCTACTTTTTACGATGTAACCATTTTCTCTTAATATTTGATTCGGCTTCTATTGATATTCATAAAGGATTCCTTTCTAAATTTGCAATTGAGGAACGGATATGTTGCCGCCCATTTTGTCTAAATGAAATTCGCTTGCCATTCCCAGTGTCTCATGGGACTTCCTTTTCAGTTTTTAAACCTTCCCATTCTACGTTCCTAAGTTATCTAATTTACACCTGTATAACTTTTCTCATGCTATTTTAACAAACATAAATATTTATTTACACAAAACTTCAATAAAAATATTCTCACATGTTATTATAATATTTAGCACATTGTTTAACTCTCAGCAAAGAAAGAAGATTCGGCAGAAGATTATGCTTACCTACCCGTCGTATTTATTTTTACTTTTTATGGCTAAAATGTGTTCATAAAAAAGTTCATTAACTTTTCCTCTCATGACACACAATTGGCGAAGAACTGCCTGTTCACCGTGTAATTCGTTTTTTTAACCGCAAAATGGTCGAAGTCATAAAACTTTTTCGGTAATTTTGTTGAATCACAAGAAAAACAGACATTTTCTACAAATTATATTTCCATGCTTCCATAGCGTGTAAATGATGCATTATAAATATGTGTTAATATTTCAATATGAATAATTTATTATAATTTATTATGAAGTTATGCTAAGCAAAGATGGTTGAAACACAACATAGCAGAAATCGCAGCGTGATTTTAGAATTTCGGCTTTTGCTAAAAGCCTGCAGTTTTTCTGGTCAGTATTAATACATACTTGTACAAACTCCATCCTTCTCTTGTTGATGGCTCTTGCAACTGCATGTGACCTCCTCATTTACAATACCGCAGATCTGGTCCTTACGACAACGCTTTTTTTCCTCTTCATTGCAGACTCTTCTCTCTAAAAAAAAACAGAAAATACGAGGTAATTATAAAGAATGTTTTTCTTTCAAAGTCAATACCACAAACAAAAAGTTAAAGCAGAATGTCAATACCAAGCTAAATCATATACATCGCCTAAGATCGAAGTGTGTACAATAAATAGGTTAGTTTTTCGAAGTAGCACCCCCCATAGTCTTCTTATATATATATATATATATATATATATATATTTCTGTTTGTGCGTGCATACAATCATTGTTGCGAAGTTCCACGTTTTTGGCCCTATACACACACACACACACACATGTATATATATATATATATATATATGGGTGGTTTCATTTGAAATCGAACACGCTTGTCGGGGTAGGTCTTTCGATTTTTTTTAAATATATGTAATCGCCCCATTTCAACAAAACCGCTTTTCAATTTTTTTTTTTTTTTTAATATTTCGCTTCACAAAAAATTATTGAGTGGAGCAGGGTGAAAATCTGTTTTTTACTCCGTGATTTTTCTACCCAGTTCTTTACGCTGGTATGAATACGGGAAGGATACAAAACTCACAGTATCTTTTTCGCTCTTTTATGTTATATGAACTATTTTTTATTTCAAAGGGAAATACTTTTGTAGTTTTTTTATTAAGGTAAAAATGCCAAACATCATCTCTTTGACAATCCTGTGACATATTCAGAGCCTTGTAACTAATGAGTTATTATATTTGTCACCTATTAAATACTATGCAGGTGTAGCCCTATTCATGGGCTATTGACGGGCATAAGTTTTGTTTATTTTATTTTTATTGGATTTTTTATATAAAATTTGAAATTTCGTCGAAAATGAAATTAACCGATATTTTGAACTCACTTTATCAAGAAAGGCCATTTTTTATTTCGTTCAATTTTTTTATTATTCCTGCCGATCATATGAACTTTCAATTGGCTTGATGCGATTTCCCACTTTTTTGTTGTATCTTCTCTAGAAGTGATCGAAATCGCTCCCACGTGACAATGCGGTGACAACTTCAGGGCCTTGTAACCCATGAGTTATTATATATTGTCGCTTACCAAATACTATGCTGGTGTAGCCCTATACATGGAATATCGACGGGCATAAGTTTAGTCTATTTTATTTTCACTGAATTTTTTATATAACATTTGAAATATCGTCGAAAATGAAATTTATTGATATTTTGAACCCACTTTATTCAAAAAGGCCATTTATTATTTCGTTCAATTTTTTTATTATTATTGCTGCCGATCATATGAACTTTCAGTTGGCTTGATGCGATTTTCCCCTTTTCTTGTTGTATGTTCTCATGAAGTGATCGAAATCGCTGGCCGTTCTCTGAACGGCCAAACGCAGTTTCCGCAGGTGGGCTTCGCTGCAAAGACTATACTGCTTATTTGTTTTTTTCAAATGCAGCGGGTAAATTCATTTCGACTGAGAACACTCGTGCTTGGCTACATTGTATTTTATTAATTTTTAATGATGGCAACTGACATTCCTTAGTCTGATATTTAGCGGTGCAGCGGATGTTCCATTATCCGATGTTTAAAGCCAGGGCACAAAGGGCGGAGAAAACGGAACGAGCTCTTCATGTAACCAGACCGGGGTCATATACCTGTACAATCTTTGCATTAAGCTCGGTGCGACAAAGTGGAGAAACTAAAAGTCTACAGAGACATTAAATGACTGCTTTCGCTGCCTTCTATGCATGTGGGTATCCTTGCTTCTTGGCATCAGAGATATCGATCCCCAGTCTTAAACAAAACCCAACACTTTTATTTTTAACTGGACACACTCGTTCAAACAGAAGGGCCACCTTCTCAAGTTCTCGCTTTGGCTCCAGTTTTCGTTCTGTCCGTCTCGACTTACCACGCTGTTGAACTTCTCGGGTACATGCGACCGCTGCGGTACAAACTTCAGCTCGCCCCCGCGCTCGATCGTCTCCAGAGGCGACCCGATGCCGTTGTCAAAAGGTTCCAATATTGCGTTGCTCGTGAACTGGACTATTTAAATGACAACAACATATTGCTTTACAAGTGCAACCTAAATAAATTAGCGTTAATTAATACAAGTGACTATTTATCGCCAATTGGTGTTTGTCTTGTAAAAAATTGTCTTCGCTTCATGTAAACTCAGTCCGTTTTCCTCACTTTTTGTCTGCAAACTGATTTTCCTTCTTAAAGAGGAGCATGTGATATTACATATTTTTGATATACACGCTGACAATAAAGAACAGGTGATTACATGGTTATTTGATCGCACGCGACAAGACACATCATGGTTTGGCGCCCGTACCGGTGCTTCCTGGGTATAACGAGGATGGGCCTATAGCGCGATTGGCCGGGCGTGCTGTACGTGCCTTACAGCCTGTGTATATCACAAACAGATATATGAACCCGGTCTGGTTACATGAAGAGCTCGTTCCGTTTTCTCCGCCCTTTGTGCCCTGGCTTTAAACATCGGATAATGGAACATCCGCTGCACCGCTAAATATCAGACTAAGGAATGTCAGTTGCCATCATTAAAAATTAATAAAATACAATGTAGCCAAGCACGAGTGTTCTCAATCAAAATGAATTTAACCGCTGCATTTGAACACACAAATAAGCAGTATAGTCTTTGCAGCGAAGGCGACCTGCGGAAACTGCGTTTGGCTGTTCTGAGAGCGTGGGAGCGATTTCGATCACTTCTATAGAAAATACAACAAAAAAAAAAGGGAAATCGCATCAATCAAATTGAAATTTCATATGATCGGCAGCAATAATAAAAAAATTGAATGAAATATTAAATGGCCTTTTTCGATAAAGGGGTTCATAATATCGGTTAATTTTATTTTCGACGATATTTGAAATTTTATATAAAAATTCAGTGAAAATAAAATAAACTTATGCCCGTCGATATTTCATGTGTAGGGCTACACCCGCATGGTATTTGGTAAGCGACAAATATAATAACTCATGAGTTACAGGGCTCTGAAGTTGTCACCGCATTGTCTCGTGGGAACGATTTTGAATACCTCTAGAGAAGATACAACAAAAAAAGGGGGAAATCACATCAAGCCAACTCAAAGTTCATATGATCGGAAGCAATAATAAAAAATTTAACGAAATAAAAAATGGCCTTTTTTGATAAACTGAGTTCAAAATATCGGTTAACTTCGTTCTCGACGAAATTTCTAATTTTATATAAAAAATTCAGTGAAAATAAAATAAACAAAACTTATGCCCGTCGATAGCACATGTATAGGGCTACACCCGCATAGTATCTAATAAGTGACAAATATAATAACTCATTAGTTACAAGGCTCTGAAGATGTCACCGGATTGTCAAAGAGACGATGTTTGGCATTTTTTACGTCAATAAACAAAACTACAAAAGTATTTTCCTTTGAACTAAAAATAGTCCAAGTAACATCCAAGAGTACAACCAATTACTGTGAGTTTTGTATGCTTTCCGTATTCATACCAGCGTACAGAACTGGGTAGAAAAATTACGGAGTAAGAAACAGATTTTCACCCTCGGAGCGTGGAGCGAAAGCTTCCGCTGGGAACCTCCTAAGTTCGATCCCCGCCGCCCCCGTCCGTTTTGATCTGGATGAGTTTCGTACCGGCACGTGCTCGTGTGATCACTACTGCGTGATGCACGCTAAAAAATTACACCATCTTCCCGAGGGGAACCATGCGGTGATGCGGAGCATCGCGGAGTTTGCAACAACGTTCACGCGATGTGTGGTAACCAATGCAAGTTAACAACGTAATAACACGCAAGTTAACAACGTTACTAACACCTTTAATAACACCGTTAATAACGATCCGCGATGCTCCGCATCACCCCATGGTTCCCCTCGGGAAGATGGTGTAATTTTTTCCTTCATATCAGCGTCTGGAAACCCTGCAGTGCAACCCGCGGGAGCTTTGACATAAGAACATATGCAGATGAATGAACGGTAATTAATCCAATGAATCAAAGAATTTTTCATTGGTGGCGGCCAATAAAAAAATTTGGCGGGTTCCTGAAAGTTTTTTTCAGGAACCTGCCGAAAGCCAAAGTAACAACAGAGCCAGGACTTGAACTCTGGGCCTCCCAATGTCCGGTCGGGTGGGCTGATTTTAACACCACTCCACCTTGGCTTTCTGGGGTTTCCTATCTGCGTTATTAATGCACAAGAAACGAAAGGTATCCAATCGGAGGTGTTCTGGAAACACAGGTCGCCGCGTGGAACGCGGTACGACGCTTGGTCTCACGTGGTACGTTCTCGTTTCTGCTCCAGAAATCCTCCCACTGTTCTGTCTTGCCCCGTGTACCTGTAGTATTCTTTTTTTTTGAGCTTTTAAAGATGATACAGTGTATCCTCATCTCTAAAATATTCTTCTGCATATGTTCGTTTATATCCTCCTCAGAGACCACGTACGATGGTGTGAAGTGCCCGTGTTGTATATATATATATATATATATATATATATATATATATATATATATATATATATATATATATATATATATATATATATATATATATTTCACGTGATATTTTAGGCTAAAATAATTCCGCACAAGGGATATTATGTATCAAGCAGGAATCAAATTATCATCATAATATAAACCCCGAGAATATGCTGTTTTCTAACCAGCTTGCCTGCAGAGTTTCGCTCCTTTAGATAAAAATAATTCAAAATACTTGAAAATTCTTACCGGTGCAGGTTATACCATCTTCCGCCAGTTGGAATCCCTTCTTACATATACATTGGAAGGGGCGGTCAGTTGCTGAGCTCTTACAGCCATCAGGACAAAGAGGATCTGCGACTTTTGCCGTGCACGCATCTGAAAAAAATATGGGAATTGTGCAAGATACATGAACATTGTCGTTGATCTGAAAATGTAATTTCATATTGTGAGTGCGAGCAGGATCGTGTGTTTCTACACAATCGAGCTTGTGCTGTCTCGGGGAGCACTAAACTCTAAATTACTATATATCAATTGGCCTTTTAATCAAACAAGAAGTCTTAAGCCGAATGCTAATTTTATTTGCTTTGCTTGTTCATTATATATAAATATATATGTATATTTATTTATTTATTTTAAGAGAGGAATCATGTTGGACATTGTTTTTACAATAGTCCTCTATACTGCATAATACCTACCGATGTAATCGAAGCAGATCTAAAGGAAAATACAAAAAAGTGCCACGTCGTGATGCTTAAAAATTTGTGTTTTCAGGAAGATATGATTAATGTTATGTAATATTTTTGACAACGTTATTTTGATAATCCTAATGAGGGACTTATCGAAGTCGCTCTAACAACTCTATTCCTTTTGTTTTCTATTTCACATTAAAGAGAAAAGCAGTTGTTTCAAGAAGGTAGGAAATAACGACGTTCAAGCAAGCTCTACTTAGAGGCCAAACGTTTACGAACATCTGTTCAGCTCTAAAGACTTTGTGTACTTCCTAAAATGCACTCATAAAAAAAACTAGAAATATGCCCGAGTTGTTTGCCTAATTTGCATGGGTAGACCTTGCGTATTTTTGCTACGGTGCATCTAGCGGGCTTTGCGTTATATATCATTCCTACAAACTTTATCCCTAATCTTTAATTTAAATTTTGATTCCTGCCAAAGCGAATGTTACTCTTTTTCATGTAAATTCTTAATTCATATAAGGCTCGTTAGAAAAAAATCATTTAATTATTCTTGTGGCGAGAAGCGATGACATATTTGAGGTAACGGCAAACAACCTTTAGTAATATATGTTACCTATTCATTACACTTTTATTTTGTAACAGATTTCAGTTAGCTTTTATAATATGAGTATTCTGAACTAATATTACTCACCAACACATGAGTCGTTTCTTGATATATATCCAGGTTTGCAGTAGCGCGTCTCGTCTGGCGTTTCTAATAAACATGACGAAACATGTTAACAGCTTGCAACTGGAAGATCTCAAATAGACATTTCGCTGAACAACTTTCCCGAGTTAAAGTGCAGTGGTCTCTTCACTGGATATATATAAAAAATTCGAGATCAAGTTCTCGAGAGCAAACGTCTGAACTATAATTGTTATATTACAATATATATGCACTAGGGTTGGGCACGTTATCGATTAACCTGGTGATTAATCGATTATGAATTAATTGCTATTAATAGTTTTAAACGGTCAATAGTTAAATTTTCCATGAATCGAAAGAAAGTAAAAATTAAACGAATTCACCACCCAGATGTGGGCGAGTACACCTGTATGAAGAGAAAACTAGGTAAAATTTTAACCCAATGTAAACTATAGCTATAGGGTCGAGATTTGTAACACCAGACAAACGCAGAAGGTTTCACGTGTCCCGGTTACTTCAACGCCGTTCGAGTGTCCATTTAGCGCAGCAGGGAATATTGTCAATAATCAAAAGAGGTCGCTGTTGCCGGAGAATATCAACGATGCTCTTTGCCTCGTGCAGCGGAAGTAAGAATCTGTGAGTTTGAGGGTCCTTGGACTGCTCTCAACTACACATCGAGGTCGATTCATAATTGAAATTCCATATTACGTTATTTATCACATAAGCCGAAAAAGCAAAAGAGTAAGATAATTTGGACTTTTCAGAACTATTACATAGGAAAATGAACGAGACCAGGTCCTTCAATTATTAGTTCATTAAAGTGTGGCGATTAATCGGGGAAGAAAGGTTTAATCGACACGCAGCTGTGATTTCACACACACCAGGTTTTTTTTTAATTTATAACGAGAACTATTCGAGTTTTCGACATTATCGCCTGATAAAGAGCAAAACAAAAACAATAAAATAACATTGTTATTTTATAAAAATATAACGATCACTTAAATATTATTTTAGTACACCTTAAATGTCCGAAGGATACGTTTATTATACTTTTAGAGTCCTTCGCGTTTTAGCAGTACGGTCCGCACGTCGATCGAGTCTTCGAAACAAGTGTGTACATAATAAAAGTGTATATTTATTAAACTAATAGTCAACTGAAATTTGACTTTACTGTAATTTGGATTATGCTTCATAGAAGTAAGTAATAATTAATATACGTCTACTGTATTACGTTTTACAAATTGGATACCGTACGTAGGTGGTTCCTATCTCAAGTTCGCAGCAGTCACTCAATTGAATATTTTTGATGTGATTTATCTCTTCGTGCACGTCGTCAAATCATACGCCGTTCGATGTGAGTACACTCAGTACAATCGCGTTTGTGTGTGCGTGTGCATGTGTGTGTGCGCGCGTGTGTTTGTGCGTGCGTTTGTGTGTGTGTGTGTCTGTGCGCGCGCGCGCGCGCGCGTGTGTGTGTGTGTGTGTGTGTGTGTGTGTTTACGGCAGTGACATGCTCGGCGTCCTAATGTTAAGCCTTACTGCAGGTAGCAGCTTTGAAACAAGAAATAAAAGTCTAAGACAAAATACATTCATATATATATGATTTCTATTTCAGATAAGAATCATGCCACTCGGGCAAGGACACATCACGCGGGTAATAAAAGTAGTATCTGTCTATTCCGCTATGGCTATTGGTTTATGGGAAAATGTAAAAAAATTATTTGAGAAATCCGATTTTTTTTTAACGGTTGTTTTAAGGATTGCATTTAGAAAATTACACCATTTCGTATATGCTGTACTAATGTAGATATCGTCTGGGATTTCCGTACCATTGTCTAAGCTGACGTAATGTTTCCGCGAATAACTACAGTTTGGCTGCGATCGGCTTTTTAAGTACTTAAGCTAATAAACAAAGCATTTTCTTATTTTATTGAGTTTAAGTTTGTAAAATATATGTAACCTGGGCCTTACTCGAGCAGTTTTCGATGTTCCATCCTTGACAGCAGCGGTCATCTTTGTCTAGGAGCTTTTTCTGACACAATTCCTCGCACGTCATATTGAAGTTCAGGCAGGCCACCGCTAAAAGAACAAGAAGGCAGCGTCTTCAGATTGTGTAATCATAATTCAGACAACACTCACATCTGAATAAACACAGAACATTGCTTTGAAGTCAACTAAATGTCATAAAAATAGTTGTTTTTAACCAGAGATCCCTTGCAGTGATTTTGAAAACTACGTATGATGTCAGGATTCGGAATGTTTCACTGATATTTTAGAATGTTTCCTTTATGCTCACCGAAACATTCGGGAATGGTAATCACTCACCAAAACTTTCAAAAAGGGAATCAGTATATTCAATTTAGAGTATTTTGATTGTGATAATGAAATACCTGTAAAATAGACATCAGACGCACTTTGGGATACTTAGTTGAGTTCAGGTTCGAAACTCAAATGTTTAGTGTATTTCATTTATTTTGCAAAACCCAATGTTTTGTATTTTGTTAGGTTAGCATCGCGTCATAACTGTCCTCTGTGGAAAATCACAGGCGCTGGCAATTTTAGCAAAACTGACGTACTTTTAAAATGTAAAAACCAAAGGTGCGAGCATATTACTGATGTTATGTATTCGTGTTAATCGTGCTGAATTTCTTTTTGGTGTTCGCATGTACACATAAATTTTTTTTGTTCGCTGATATTACAGTCCGCGAATGAATTTGTTCTTTTTATAGGTTAGAGATTTTTCACAGTATATGCGCTCGAGACGGAATTGCATTAAATTATGAGCATAAAACAAATATGGATTTTTTTAATTATCAAGTGGGCAAGATGTATGTATCAGGGAACAATATATATATATATTCAGAAATTCATTTTTAAGCGTGTGAGTTTTTATTTTAAGCAGAGGCTCAGTCCAAGTCAGCACGGTTTTGTCGCAGACGATCTGTTGAAACAAATCTTTTAGCCTTTTTGGACTTCGGGAAACCTATAGTTGGGTCCCGTCGTCAAGTTGATGGTATTTATTTTGACTTTTCGAAGGTGGTCCACCTCGTAGATTACAATTTATTGCTGTCGAAGCTGTCTCATATTGGTCTTTCTCCGGGTTTCCGCTATTGGTTTGCTATTTATCTCCGTAAAATCTCAAGTGTGGTTTTTCTACTTAGGGTGCAAATCATTCTTTATCTGTTGGACTCTGGGGTTCCATAAGGGTCGACCCTTGGAATTTTGCTTTTTGATACTTTTGTCGATGATATTGTAACTAGTGTGAGTGCCTCAATGATGCTTCAGTATGCCTATGACATGAAAATGTGTCGTAGTATCCACACGTCTGTGGATTGTGAATCGCTACAAAAAGATATTGAAATGCACTTCATTTGTGGTGCTGTGCGAACTCGCTAGTTTTAAACCCCACCAAAACTAAGGTTGTTTCTTTTTCCCGTGGGCAAATTTTGTTCTTCATGCTTACACATTAGATGGCTCTGAGATTTCAAGTTCTGTTGTGCGTCACCTTGCAATTTTGGTCAATTCACTCCTGAACTTTAACTATCATGTTTCAAATATTATTGATGATTTCTTGCGCATCCTGGGCATAATTGCACAGATTACCCGTGACTTCCGGAATTACACCTGTATACTGAACATTTCTCAGTTTTTGGTTCTATTGCGGTTGGACTTTTTTTCTACGGTATGGAATTCTTTGGGTGTCAGTCAGGTGCTCAGGTTGGAGTGCATACATAGCCGACGTGTCGAAATTGTATACGATCGCCACATTGGACGAAGTGTTTTTTTTTTATAATTATGTGGTTCTTTTCGGCACTCTTGGCCTTTCGCCTCTTTCAACCAGTTGACTAGTTCACCACATGATGTTTCTATATATGTTGTTCAATTCTGTTTTTGATTCCCCAACGTTATTGCGTAGAATCTCCATTCATGTCCCCCAGCGAAAGAATAGGTCCACTCCTTTTTTTACAAGGCTTATCTAGGGTGCAGTCCTCCACTGACACGGATGATGCTAATGTAAACATGTTTTTAACCCCCACGTGAAATTTTTATACCTTTTAAAACGTTCAAGCCTAGTATAGTGGTCAGGGCTGCCGTGTAGTTTGTTTAGTTCAGTGCTGTTTTATTATGTCAAGTGTAACCTTAAGAAAGGCCCATAAAGCCGTTAGGGAAACACAATAAAGCTCCCTGATATATATATTATTTATTTCAAGATACTGTTAACCCCACTTGGGGTCATTACAGGAGAGGGTAAAAAAAAAAGTACGGTACTGAACATTGCAGCAAAACAAAAACACCGCACACATTACAGCAGACAAAATATGATCAGAAATAAACAGCCGCAGGAAAACAAGAAACACCGCATCAACAAGTGAAGTTTACAGTCATATTACAAAGAAAACATTATTAAACTAGCAAACGGAAAGCACCACTCAATAGTAAAAAAAAAAAAAAAAAAACTAGTTCTGCAAGCGCTTCAAATTATTTAAAAACTCTACTGGGGAACTTGAGTTCACAATTTCCTGCGATAGAAGGTTCCATTCATCTATTGTTTTAGGAAAGAGAGAACAGTGAAATACATTAACTCTACTTTGAAAAGGCTGGATCATTTTAGAATGGCTATTTCTTAGAATGCGAGTTATACGGGGTTTCAAATACAGGGTATAGTCAATGTTGAAAAAACCATGATACATCATAAAAATATGCTTTAGTCGAGCATTCCTGCGCCGCTCAGAAAGTGGTATAAGGTCAAGCTGTTTTAACATGCCAGTGACAGATTCGGTTCGTCTATATTTTGAGAGTATGTACCTAGCGGAGTCTTTGTACGTTCTCTAATTTCTGAATCTGATTTTTTTTGATGGGGGTCCCATATTACATTTGCGTAATCTAATACTGGTCGTATGACTGTTTTGTAGACCATCAGCTTGGCACTCATAGTTGCATACCTAAAATTCATTTTCAAGTATCCTAAGGTACGCTTAGCAGAACAGCAGATATTGTTAACGTGGCTCCCCCATTTTAAGTTATTTTCAATTGTTACACCCAAATATTTATAACTATTCACTTCTCTTAAAGGAAACCCGTTAACTGTGTATACATAAGGGAGAATATTTTTCTTATTTGATATCCTTAGAAGCACAGTTTTGTCAATATTAATTAACATCCCCCATTCTTGGCACCATGACCCAATTTTCTGTAGAGCTCTGTCCAGACTAGTTTGATCCTCGCTAGTTTTAATATCTGTGTAAAGTAGACAGTCATCGGCAAATAATCGTACCGTAATAGAATCGTCAATGGTTTGCGCAATGTCATTAATATATATTAAAAATAAAACCGGACCCAAAACGGAGCCCTGTGGGACTCCTGATGATACTGGTAAAACGCCAGATGCCGTATTATTTATTTCAACAAATTGTTTTTTTTCCTTGAGGTATGCACTTATCCAATTAACCAATTCCGGGCTGACTCCAATTAATTTAAGTTTTTTTGTCAAGTATTTATGCGGGACTCGATCAAAAGCCTTCGACATATCTAGAAATATTGCGTCCGTTTGTCCCCCGGCATCAATAGATTTGCAGAAGTCGTGAATACATTCACTTAACTGGGTAACCGTTGAAAGTTTTCGTCTAAAGCCATGTTGGTTTTTATAGAGAAGGTTATTGTTTTCTAAGTGGTCGTATAATGACTTTGAGACAATGTGTTCCATTATTTTACAGCTGGTACTCGTCAGTGATATTGGCCTATAATTGGTTGGGAATAATTTGTTGCCAGCTTTAAAAATAGGCACGACTTTAGCGTATCGCCAGTCGGAGGGAACGGAACTTTGCGATAATGAAGCTTTAAAGATAATCGTTAGATATTTTGAAACCCACTCAGCGTACCGTTTTAAGAATGCGTTTGGAATGTTATCGCGTCCACCAGACTTATGCACTTTAAGTTGCAACAAAAGAGAAAAAATGCCTTCTTCTGAAATAGAAATATCTGTCATTATAGGTCCGTTGTATCCAACACCACCTCTCACATCGTGACCAGGACGTTCAGTCACGTTACTTGAGAACACGGACTGAAAGAAAGTGTTGAATACATTGGCCATAACCTCTGGATCATTGACGACCTCACCGTCAACTTCAAGATTTGATATGGGCTTTTTTGTGGGAGAGAGATAACGCCAAAATTGCTTGGGGTCCGACTTCATGAAATTTTGCATAGTGACAGTAAAATATTTTTGCTTTGATGCACGTAGGCTATCCTTTAATTTATCAGATAAACACGAAATTACTTGCATATTAACCAACTTCTTTTTATGTGTGTGTGTGTGTGCGTGTAGTAAATTGCGGTTTAATTCCATATTTATACAGGCTAGGTTGTGTTAGCCGATGCTTGCTCGATGGCGACCGCTTTCTGATTTGATCGAGTCCTCTGCCCGCTCGTGCACGTTCTCTCCCTCCATTTTTCGAGTCATCACATTCCTCCAGGTTTAGTTGCTGAGTTCCAGGGTGCACTCCAGCTTCGGGCAGGTCAGGCAGTGCTAAAAGTCTGTCTGAGGGACGCCGAACGCGCTGCGGGTACCGAGTGGAACGTTCATCCGGCGTTGAGGAGGTGTCGCCGGCCGACCCTGGGGCTGAATGAGGCAAATCTCCATCTGCTAACGCAGAGGGTCCTCGATTAGCAGTTGGATCCAAGAGCATCCATGGTTGCGGGCCTGATACTTCATGACTTCGTAGTTGTGCATCTAGTAAAATATGGTCCGAGTGAACGGGGATTGTGCGTCCTCGAGCGTCCACCAGATACCACTGTGGTCCTCGTCGGGAAACAATAACGCCTGGTGACCACGAGTGCTGGTTGCCTCTCACGTGCCGCACGAGGACCCGGTCACCCGCATCGAAGCTACGAAGTGGTCTTAGCGATTTGTCGTGCGCCAACTGCTGTTGGCGTTGATGCTCGACGAAGGTCCGCTCCCTACTTGGCTTTATGAAGTCAAGACGGTTTCGAAACGGCCGCTTGAGGAACAGCTCAGCCGGTGTACTTTCTGTTATAATATGAGGAGAACTGCGGTAGCTCAGGAGAAATCTGACCAGCCTTTGATTTTAGGTTTCTCCATGCGTGTTTCCTATGGATGAGTCTTTCATTCAAGCTCGCTTGAATGTTTGAACGGCTCGCTCAGCAGCTCCATTCGATGCCGGGTGATATGGCGGTGTGCGAATGTGCTTCACCCCGTTCGTTCGCAAGAAGTTTTCGAAATCCCCTGAAACGAACTGTGGTTCATTATCCGACAGACGCTCAGAGGGAACTCAATAGGACGCGAAAAGAAGAGAAGATGCGTTCCTCAGCATCTAAATGCGGCGAGCTGCCGTTGCCGTCCTTGTGGGTAGCACTTCTATCCACTTCGAAAAGCTGTTCATGACTACAAGATAGTGCTGCTTGGTCAGTTCAGCAAAATCGATATCAATTCTCTCCCACGGGACTCTTGCCCACAATCATGGGTGTAGCGTTGCTGCCACCGAATGGTTTTGCATAGACGCGCAAGCGTAGCACTTTTTGATGAAATCTTCTATATCTTTATACAACGTTGACCACCAAAGATGGTTTTGATCCTTGACCTTCATGCGACATGAGCCTGGGTGAACCTCGTGGCGTTCATGCAGCACTCGCGTTCTGAATGACGGTGGTACGATGACTCGGTACCCTCACAGAAGTAAACCTTGGTATGTGGATAGCTGGTCCCTCTTGTCAAAGTAAGGCCGGAGCACCTTGTCTTGGACGGAGTTGGGCCAACCTTTCAGGGTAAAGTCCAGCACCCTGGTTAACGTTGGATCTCATCCTCGTCGCCAAATGTAGTAAATTGCCGGTCTAATTCCATATTTATGCAGGCTAGGCTGTGCTAGGCGATGCTTGCCCGATGGCGGCCGGTTCCTGATTCGCTCGAGCTCTCTGCCCGCTTGTGCAGGCTCTCTTCCTCCATTGCCCGAGTATATGTATGTATATATATATATATGTATATATATTAGTAACTCCGAGAGTACGCATCTTTCACTTATTAACTTTTCCCTGTCCATTGTTTTTATATTTACCTTACCTATATATATATATATATATAAAGCTGAGAAGAAAAAAAAACCTTAGTGAAAACAGCAACAACGGACGATTTAATCTTCCACATTTCGGCCGGAGGCCTGGTTCACACTTACAGCTGATCCGCTGCCGCAGAAGCTGAATTGGCCGCTGCAATGCACACTGGACGCTACGCCCGGCGGCCGAATTCTTGCAGATTCGCCCGCCGATTCGCAAGTGTCAACCAGGCCGGAGTCCGGCCATCGTCAGACGTCGGCCGGAGTCCGGTCTTCCTGACGAAGGCCGGACTCCGGCCGAAATGTCGAAGATTAAATCGTCCGTTGTTGCTGTTTTCACTAAGGGTTTTTTTTTTCTCAGCTTTATACCCACGCCTTCGGCCTCCCGCCACCATGCTCGTTATATTTATATATATATATATATCAGTGTGTCGAACCGAAAAAAATACGGGTTCGGTTACGGTTCAGGTTCAGGTAAATTTATTTTGTTCCGGTTCAGTTACGGTTCGATTAACTTGATCCGCGAACCGGTTCGCGAACCGGTTCGGAAATTATAAATGACATATTGCAACATCAAAATAAATTACAAATAAAACATCCGAGATCAGCACATACGAAACGGGATACATCGTAGTGTAAGGCACAGGGATTTCTACCAGGAATGGTTTCTTTGTGTGCACTCAAAGGTTACCTCACCGACGTTTACGCATTCGGACTTCATCTAATTGGGTCCGACGCAGTAGCTGTAAAATCCGCGACCTCCTTGCAAACGCACTTACAAGTAGAACTCGCTGACTATCCCGCCACCTCGGCGTGTAAGCAATTGAAGGAACAGTGGGGAGAAAATACAGCTTTCTTTATTTGAACTAGCCTTCGGTAACTCAAATTAGACCCTTAAAGAAGTTTTCATTAAACAAGATACGGAATATGAAAAACACTTCACCGAACGCAACGCCAGAAGAACGTAATAGGATAAATATTAAAATAGAAGAGCTCGCTGTCTCACAAATATGTTAGCTTCTAAGTGCCTATACGAAACCGGATGCGTTATTATCAAACTCCACAGCCTTTTCTTTTCTCATTCCGATGGAAGCAAGCTTCAAGAACTCGCGCGTTCTAGAAACGTGTTATGAAATGAGCACAGCAGCATTTAGGATTTACGAGATTGTAGGAAAATGAAATCCTGTGACGCGATTTTTTTTTTGCACAGCCTTCCAATTCTCTTTCTTCCGTGCAAGCCGCGACCACCGCAATACTCGTTCCTATGTCAAGATTCATGGATGCAGCGTTTGTCAAGATTCATGGACGCAGCGTTTATATTCCTAAGACTGAGTGGAGAAGAAAAATATGTAAGCGAGGTGTGTGTCAGTTGACGGCACTTAAAGAACAAATGGCATTGATAGCACATTCATTGTCAACAACGCGTGGCCAAACCGTTTTGACATGAGCCGGTAGCGGTTATTTTTTATCCGGTTCAGTTCTGGTTCGGGTTCATCGCGATAACAATATAACGGTTCGGGTTCGGGTTTAGTTCCGGAAAAAATACCGGTTCGGTTCCGGTTTTCCGTTCGGTTCGGTTCCAGTTCGACACCCTGATATATATATATATATATATATATATATATATATATATATATAACGGGCATGGTGGCGGGAGGCCGAAGGCGTGGGTATAAAACTGAGAAGAAAAAAACCCTTAGTGAAAAACAGCAACAACGGACGATTTAATCTTCGACGTTTCGGCCGGAGTCCGGCCTTCTTCAGTCCGGCCTTCCTGACGAAGGCCGGACTCCGGCCGAAACGTCGAAGATTAAATCGTCCGTTGTTGCTGTTTTTCACTAAGGGTTTTTTTCTTCTCAGTTTTATATATATATATATATATATATATATAGTCCCTTGATACGAACAGTCTTTCACATTGCGGTACGGTGGCCACGACAATCCTGGAACTTGGGTTTCCGGTGACTTCGCTATAATTGGATGTTTTTTTTTTAGAGCAGAGTTTGGATTTTGGGGAGCCGCTGCATGGTACAAACATTTGAAACAGCTGCACAGAACATTAAAAAAATTAAGAGGCGTGAGTTATCCTTGTGTATGCACCCTTCTGTTTGTGCCTGCGAGGTTCTGTCGCTTTCGCATACTAATTATCTGATTACGTTCAAGTTTATGCCTGTAAAATATTTCGGTTACCAACAAATATTTCTTGTTTGTGAACAAAGCACCCCTTTATTTTGTTATCTCCACTGTTTAATATTTTTGCACGAACGACTTTACAGCTTAGCATCAGCAATTAAGGCAAAATATGTGAGCAATAGGAAACTATTCCTGTCACCTTTTTGTATTTTCTTATCTCTGACGTACTTCCATCTCACGGTTCGGGGCCGCGACATTCGGCGAATATTAAGTTCGTGGCCCACTTGGAACTACGGTTGGTATGGATATCTTTTTTTTCCCCCTAGGAAATTGTACAGGGTGTACTTTTGTAGTCTTTACATATTTGTTAAAAAAAGGAAAAAGCTACATCAAGTTATTTGCCCATGTAGGTCATACATCCAGGACGACATAACATACGTGCAAAAATTAATCGTCATGATAAGTCAATTAACTTCCTAAAGCTTATTTACTGACTTTGTTTTTAGTTATAAGTAAACACTAATGCCGTAAGGTAGTTATTTGGGCCAGTTGGTTCATAGCTAAGGAATACACTGCTGAAATAACGGAATGACCAAGCCATGAGGGACAGAAAAGGGCGCCTTGGTTGACCCTCTTGCATTAGTCCTTGTGTTACTTTGACACTGTTTGTTTTTAGAAAAAACATGTAGCTCCAATTAGAAACCTACAGAGCCTTGTCGAAAAGCACTAGATCAGTAAAATTTACAAATATCTAGAGCGCGTGGTAACCACGGTATTGCGCTAAAGTCGCCACTCGTGCGACAGGCGGCAGGCTGGCTGTATGATAAGAGACGGAAGGACCGCGCAGGGGCGCATTTTTTCAAACCCATTGTGCATGCTGCATAAGTGGTAGCTTTAGCGCATCAATGCGCTTCCCAAGCACTCTGTCTGATTTTGTGGGTTTCGACGACGCTCAGCAAGTTTCTAACTGAAATAATATGTCTATACTCACTAACTCAAAAGTTTATTAACTTAATTCAATTAATTAATAAACTCATCGTGACAATTACCCTTATACTATGTCCAACTGAATGTATAAACCACCCTCATAAACGGCATATGTATTCCTTTCAATGCAATTTAAACTAAGTTTGAAATTCTACCGAAGAGCCTGCATTTTGATCATATGTAAAGTGGGCGAGGACTACAAATATTAAGGTACCTAAGAGAGCACATCCATGGCTTCAATTTTCGATAGAGCACAAAAGTATCCAATGAAGGTGAGCAATGAAAGGATCCCATGCACTTACAAAGCCCTAGAGACGACTAGAGAAAAATGTGCTTATGAACACCGAGAATGACGTTTCTGTTGCTCATTTGTCCTAAGCAAGAAACGACCGCGTACTTTAGATCTAGCTTATTATTAGCTTTATTCGCCGGGATTATACTATTGTTATAAGGTTGATAGCTGGACTAGTTGGTAATCGTTGTACATAATGGAATAAAACAGCGCAAAGACACAGAAAGGAGGAGAGAAACCAGACTGGACTGTGCTCTGTCCTGTCTGGTTTGTCTCTTCCTTTTTGTATCTTTGCGCTGTTTTATTCCATTATACAATTGTTCGTTGGGTTCGGCAGGAAAGTCATGCCACGTGAATTTTTTTTTTATCGTATGACATAACGTTAGCGAAATACATACGCCAGAAAAAATGAACTTAACAGTTTTAAATACTCACGAACGCATTTTTTGTTGATAAACTTCTCGGCGGGTCCACAGTCGCACGAAACTTCATCTCCCTTCAGCACAGCTGTAGCACCGTACTCTTGGCACTTGAATTTTGCCTCTTTATTTACTGGAAAAAACAGTGTGTTTAAACTTGCATGAGCATTTATATATTCCTCTCTTGTAGTTTTATCTACGCGTACATTTTTTTCTGGGTAGTCAGTTCGAGAGTACAAATCAATCTCTTACAAGTTCATTATCTACCAAAAAGGCAAAGTGACAGACCGCTGCCTTAAACACGGGCCAACAAAAATGTATTAGAGTCATGTATGCAAAGTAATCTACTTTAGCCTTAGTTTCCTGTGTGCGAGTGAAGAAATCCTTGGGAAAGAAGACCAATTGACAATGTATAAATCTGTACTTTAAATTTACATCGGTCTAGACGCGGATTCTTATGTGCGCCGTACTACAAGTTCAGCTGCGTGTGCTGCTCCCGATTCGCTCACTTTGGCTAATTCCAGCTGCGCAATATGGATTACGAAACGTGTTGCATACACGCAGAAAGATAGCTTAGTTACTGTAAGTTACCAAACTCTACGAAATTGCCAAATATTTTAAAGGTGCTTGAATCAGCAAGCACTAACAAGGAGTCGCCAATTCTTCTAAAGCGCGAACTTCAGGACTACATCCCATAGTGTGAAATGAATGTGCTGCTTATGGTAACCGACTTCTGCTGTAAGATATGGTGTGTGACTCTAACTTGGTCAAGTAAACGTTTTTTTGTTTTTTTTTTATTATAGTGTCCGGTCTAAACTTGCTGTGACTCGCACGTATCTCAATTAGCTTCCTAAAACTTGTGGAAAACAATATGTACAACTCGTAATAGCCGAGAAAGACAAATCAGGCTTTTTTTTAAATTCGTAAGTATATCTTTGATTAAAAAAAAAAAAGCAAGCAATAGTTTCTGCGCATGGGAGCGTTCAGCAACAACCAGTGTGTAACACTTTTATTTTCTTCAATACAGCTTTAGTTCCTCATCTCCTGAGCCTGAAATAAATTTCAATGAATTTATTTATTGGTTTCCTTATGGTGTCTGAGCTTCTAGTTGTTTTTGATATGGTAGTAAGGCGCGCCTATTATGACCTATTTGGCGGAAAGTTGGTGGAGGTTTAAAGATTTTGATTATTTTCTTTTGAATGATCAATATAATTGGTATAGTTTCCTTTTCCTCAAGTTAAACAAAAAATAAAGCATTTGTTTTTGTAAGGTTGATTTCATCTTCAAAAAATCATGCAGTAAATAAGGTCCAAATGATTTCTGTGCTAAAAGACTTAGCCCATTATGATATTGCACTTGAAGTTGTCAGCTATCTTTATAAACTCTGAAGTCTGGCAACACCTTACCCGAACAGAAAACGTATATTTAGTACATGCTTTTATACGTGTATCAACTCATGCAAACGTGCAACTCTAAAATAATTAATAGGAGTTTTTGTTTAAATTCACTATAGGCTTAATATGTTATGTCCGGCATAACATGAAAAAAGAAGAAGACGCGCCTCGTCTTCTTCTGCGACATCAGACAGTGCACGTGCCTGCGGATGCAGGGACATTCTGTCACGCCGCCATCACGATCGCAGAGTAAAGCTACTCGTTGTGCTTTCCGTAAGCGACTCCTGATTACTCAGCACTTAACATTGGCGACGAAGGCGGACCAGAACCGCAAAAGGGAAGACTTGCATCGTTTGAACGATGTCAGCGCTGCAAGGCAAGGTCGAAGAGTTCGACGGTACTGCGTGGTCGGCCTGGGCGGAGCGCTTGGACTTCTACTTCCAGGCGAACGATGTGCAAGACGCCGGAAAGAAGAGGGCGCTACTGCTGACTTTATGCGGCGCAGAGACCTACAGCACAGTTCGAGCGCTAGTTGCACCCCACAAGCCAGGAGAAGTTTCTTTCAACGAAATTATGTCCTTGCTAGGGGACCATTACGATCCAAGACCATCCGAACTCTTCTGTCGAAGCAAATTTCAGAGGCGTGATCAACATCCAGGGGAGTCAATTGCTTGCTACGTGGCAGCACTTAAGAAATTGGCAACTGACTGTAACTTTGGCGTGTTGACGACAGCTACATCGCCAACGACGACAGCGGGTTCGTTGAGTGCCGGCGGCACAGCGTCAGCGGGGTCGTCGAGCTCCGGAGGCATATTGGCTTCCAATCCAACGATGCTGCCGCTGGACGTGATGCTTCGTGACCGCTTCGTCTGCGGAGTTCAAGATGAGCGTATTCAACAACGTCTTTTTGCAGAACAAAAACTCACATTCAAGCAAGCTTACGATATTGCCATCAGACTTGAGAGTGCAGTGCAACAACAACAGGAGCTGAAACTCCCCAAACCAGACCTCAACAAAATGTGTAGAACTACGAACCGGGCAGCCACCACTTCCAGTGGTCAGCCGGAGACGCCGTGTTACCGCTGCAATGAGCAACACAGCGCACAAACCTGTCGATTTCGCAAAACATCGTGCCGATTTTGCAGAAAGACGGGTCACATTGAGAAGGCTTGCCGAATGAAGGCTCGATCCGGAGCTGCACAACGCTCGACCAACCTGGTGAGCGATGACCAAAACGAGACTGATCAGTCAGTAAGTGATTTTGACATGCAGGAACTTAACGCTGTTCGTGCCAGCGTCGTGGTTCCCAAGTACCTCATAACGCTTAAAGTAGAAGGAAGAGCACTAGAATTTGAAGTTGACTCTGGTGCAGCAGTCACGGTCATCAGCCAAGAGACCTACAGGCGAACATGGCCAAACAAGCCACCTCCGTTACAGAAAGAGAATATGACGCTGCAGACGTGGACCGGTGAAGGACTCCGAGTTCTCGGTTCAGCGCAGGTACACGTAAAGCATAAGTCTAAGGACTATATCCTGCCACTCCTAGTCACAACCGGAACAGGATGTAACCTGATGGGACGCAACTGGTTTTCAGCACTGCAGATTCGACTCAGTGGTATTCACCACATTGAGCAAGACCGTACTATCACAACGGTGCTCAGCGCGCACAGTGAGGTCTTCAAGTCTGAGATCACAGGGTACATCGGACCAACGGTACACTTGGAGATGAAAGAAACAGCAACACCCAAGTTCCTTAAAGCCCGACAAGTACCATTTGCACTACGGCCAGTAGTTGAATGCGAATTGCTAGCATTGCAGAAGCAAGGCATTATAGAGCCGGTTCAGCACTCCGCGTGGGCAACGCCTGTCGTGGTTGTCAGGAAGAAAGATGGATCCGTGAGGCTCTGCGGGGATTACCGCAGTACCGTGAACGACGCAGCAAAGCCGGCATCCTACCCGCTCCCGACACCGACGGAGGCTCTATCAAACCTTCAAGGAGGAACTGTCTTTTCGACCCTTGATCTCGCGCAAGCGTATCAGCAGCTGCGAGTAACGGATACGACCGCCGAAATACTGACGATCAACACGATCAAGGGGCTCTACAGAGTGAAGCGACTACCTTTCGGAATCGCGGCCGCCCCGGCGATATTTCAACGAGTCATGGAAACCACACTCGCAGCCATTCCGGGAGTTAGCGTTTACCTTGACGATATAATCATCAGCGGAACAACTCCAAGTGAGCACGCGCGTCGGCTGGATGAGGTACTCTCACGACTGGAAAAGGCAGGGCTGAAGCTCAAGCAAAGCAAGTGCTTCTTCGGCGTGAAGGAGGTCAAATTCTTAGGTCACCGCATAAACGCCGAAGGAATTCATCCAACCCAGGACAAGATCCAAGCAGTAGTCGAAGCCCCAGAACCAGAGAACAAGACGCAGTTACAGTCCTTTTTAGGCCTCCTGGCGTTTTACGACAGGTTTTTAAAGGATCGCGCGACAATCGCGAAGGAACTGTACGAACTACTTGAACAGAACAGAGAGTGGAGGTGGGAAGAAACACACCGAAGGGCTTTCAAAAAGCTGAAAGATCTAGTGGCGAACTACACTGTGCTCGCACACTATGATGGAAAACGACCTCTAGTGTTGTCTTGCGACGCCTCACCATATGGAGTGGGAGCCGTACTTGCACAGCAAGATGCTGATGGGCGGGAGGCTCCGATCGCTTTTGCATCCAGAACGCTTGGCAGTGCCGAGCGGAACTATTCGCAACTTGATCGTGAAGGCCTCGCTATCGTGTACGGAGTTCACCACTTCCATCAATACATAGCTGGGAGGTCCGTGACCATATTCACAGACCATCAGCCTTTGCTAGGTATCATCGGCTCCAACAAGCCTGTTCCACAAGTATTATCACCAAGGATGACTAGATGGTGCGTGAAACTGGCAGCCTACCACTACGACCTGAAATACAGGCCAGGAAATCGTCACCAGAACGCAGACGCTCTCAGTCGGCTTCCGTTACCACACACAGAAGACGAATTGAATCCACCTGGCGACATCTTGATGTTTGAAGGATTGTCACGGCCTCCTCTGTCAGCGCAACAGGTAGCAGAAGCGACAGCAAAGGACACTGTGCTGGTTGAAGTGTTAGAGGCAATTCAAAGGGCACTCTTCATCGACTCAAATCACCAGAGTTCGCACCTTACACAAAAAAGGCGGCAGAACTGTCGACACACCGAAATTGTCTGACATGGGGGGCACGCATTGTGATCCCCACGCGGCTGAGGACGGACGCGTTGACGTTGATTCACGCGGGGCACCGCGGAATTATAGCAATGAAGACATGCGCACGGAGCTACCTCTGGTGGCCCGGTATCGACGCAGACATAGAGTCATTCGTCGCAGAATGCACTGCCTGCCAGACCCACCGCAAGACACCACCGAAGGAGCCCATGCCAGTCTGGCACAGACCCTCCCACCCTTGGGATACTATTCACGTGGACTTTGCGGGTCCTGTTGAAGGCCAAGTTTTTCTGGTGGTCGTGGACGCATACACTAAATGGGTGGAAGTCCGAGTGATGCGAAACATGACGTCGGCTGCCGTCATTAGAGAATTGAGGGCTATCTTCGCAACTTTCGGCGTTCCCCGGAAGGTGGTTTCGGACAACGGCACAGCGTTTGTGTCCGACGACATCAAGACCTTCTACCGGAATAACGATGTAATATCGATCACAAGCGCGCCATACCATCCAGCAACTAACGGCCAGGCTGAACGCATGGTTCAAGAGCTGAAAATGGCACTAGCTAAAAGAGGAAGAGAAGATCTGAATTGTGTGGTTGCCAGATTTTTATTCAAACAACATACAACAATCCATGTGGCAACAGGAAAGACACCTGCTTGGATGCTTTTTGGGAGAGAACTTCCGTCTGCTCTCGAGCGACTAAAGACGTTCTGCCCCGAGACACCTGAAAGCACTGCCACCTTTACAAACCCACGCAAGCTGAATGTAGGCCAAGCAGTGTGGGTTAAAACATTTCCAGACGGTAAAAAGTGGATACCGGGAGTGATCGAACGTCAGCTGGGACATCGCTCTTGGATGATTCGGGTAGAGCAAGGTTCAATTCGCCGGCACACCAACCACATACGGCCGCGAAGAGTGGCATCGCATAATCAACCTCCACAGACAGCTGTGGCACCCGCATGGGACATTAACAGCCGTGATGACCTGGCTCCGCAACCATCGACAACCATCAGGGACAACAGCACAACTGCTATTCCCGAGGAATCGCTGCCTGTTGTGCCGCCGGCAGAGCCTGACACTTCAGGCACTCGAAGAAGTTCCCGAGACCGGCGACCACCTCAAAGATATGGACATGACGTCTAGTGGGGGGAGGTGTTATGTCCGGCATAACATGAAAAAAGAAGAAGACGCGCCTCGTCTTCTTCTGCGACATCAGACAGTGCACGTGCCTGCGGATGCAGGGACATTCTGTCACGCCGCCATCACGATCGCAGAGTAAAGCTACTCGTTGTGCTTTCCGTAAGCGACTCCTGATTACTCAGCACTTAACATATATCATAACTGTAATACTTACTTTTGCAGAACTCTGTTAGCCCCGGGATCCCCCCGCATTTGCAGTGACGCTTCTTTGAACCGTTTCCGTCATCGCAGTATCCAATCTTGCACGGTAACGGACCGCAAGACTGCCAATCTAGGAAGGTGTGACCAACAGATATATTATTAAAATACCAAGAAAACCGCTCTTTTAATTTTATGCATGACAATAAAACAACCTCTCTACTGGAAATTTATTCTGACACAGTGGCAGTTTGATCATTCGATAGATGTATCAAACTTTTAGTGTGTCCATCTGTCCTCTTTACTGATGTAGCATAGATCCATACCTTCGAAGAAAGTGTTAATGCGAACTAAAATTATGGAAATGCATACTATCAGGTATACTACACACATTTTATGTTGGGGACTACGTCACTCTAAATGTTTAGCACAAATTGAGAAAACGAAAAAGCAATTTGGTTGTAGTGGCAGGTTCGCTGTCTTATATAAAACCGGCCCCAGAGAAGCATTGATTAAGTGAGTGGAAAACGAGGACACATCGAGCAGAGCTCGAACAAGGGAACTCGGGAATAGAAGTCTGGCACGGAACGGCGAAATGTCAAGGTGCTAGGAGCAGCTCGTCCCATATACGTACCTTGCGTTGTACGATCTACGGGGCGGTCGTTAAAGGGCCTGATCGGATGTTGTCTAAACCAGAAACAGTTTTTATGGTGTTTGCTTAACATTTTTACTAGAACCAAGGTTTTACAAGGCATTTAAGTGTTGTGGGCTCATTCATTTCCAACAATGTTATGTGTTCGAACGAGTGCTACTACTCACGCAAAGTAAAATGGGGTCCCTCAAGATTAGTGTTGTGTGTAGCCAAATTGTCGACGTTATAAACATGACGGAACTTTGCAGCTTGCGCTGTCACACTGAACACGCAGCGGCGAGTTTTCAAGCTTCATTGCCAGACCTTGTACGTCAAAGAAATCACGTTCCTTTACTCACGTTTGCATGTTTTATCGTTAGCGTCGTAAAATCCGCCTTTTGGGCTACTGCACTGAAATGAGTCTATAGCGGGAAGAGCCACGCATTTTGCAAGGTCTCCACATAATGCGGATCCGACTCGTTTGCAGATTCCTATGGTAAAAAAAAATAACATTAGTGTTTGGAGGAAATATGAAAGTGCATTTTATAATACAAGCTTTCTTCGTCTAACTAAATAATCAAATTGCCCCTTATTTTTGTATATTGATTAAGTTAGCCGGACCGATCAATGAATTCGCAGCTCTATGTTGGATCGGCTCAACGAAAAATTAATATTCAACAAAGCAAACTGACGAAAAATATCCCTGCCAAGGTTCGCATGTACTCATAGCTTGTCACACGCTAAATGACGTCTTTTTTTTACTTTCTTGCATTTACAGCCTCACCGAGGCTCATAAGCCATCAAATGCCAAATACTTTTAATTGCTACGCAAACGGAATTTCTGAGGGGTGCTGTAACAAGTGAGTATATAACATTTTTAGTTGTAGTATTCAATAAAATGGCAATTTATCATTCTACGTAACTAATTGTGACGCTTAGTACGGCTTAAATATTTCAGGTACCATAATATGTTGCGTTATTCCTGTCATAATATAATATGTATTATATTGCTTACCCTTAGGGTCTTCATGAATTGTTTGGTCCTCGTTCGCCTCATTCTGAAGTGCCAATCCAAGGACAGGGGACGTTCTAGCGTCCCAGGCAAACACGGCCAGAGCAAAGACAATCAATGGCCTCATCGTAAGCCGATGCTTAAAGACAGACTGCAGCAGTATCCAGACCTGTGCCTCTACGGAGAAGCAGAGGTATTTTTTCAAGAGAGAGGACAATCGATATGTGGGCGCGATCCTGATAAAATGCTTTTGTGTTTCTGGTTACTAGGCAATGCGATAAGAATGACGTCTCTTGGGTTTCCTGCAGCCCCAAGGTTCCACTGTATGCGACGCGATAAGACGCTAGGTGACACAATTCTGTGCCAACCCACAGCTCTCGATTTTTTTTGTAAATCGAAACTTCATACGCCCTTATGTAATGCCTCACAAAGAGTTTTTTTAACGTGATAAATTATCGTAATAAAAACAGCTCACAGGCAACGAGGTAGAGAAGAGTAGAGAACGTAAAGCGCTGACTCCTAACTCATGCATTCTGGAATAAACAGGAAGACGAGACATCGGAAATGAAAGAAACGCACCATAAAAAGTACAAGACCAGTGATATACGAATGAGCCGTGCTAGAAAGAGAAGAGTACGCAGAAAAATTCCTCGACGTTCTAACGACATGATGCGTTAAAAGAGCGATTGCTCTGCTGCTTATTCGACGATATGACGATCGGATCGCATTGCGCCAATTGTGTATCATACGCTGATATGATATTGAGATGACGTTGCGTTGATTTAGCATCGATGAGTCGTTGATGAATAAAAAACAATTTAAGGACGTGATGTGTTTTCCCAACAAATTTAGCGGGAACCAGAATTTGGGCACAGGTCGCCTGACGTCCATTTTTTGGGAAATTTAGCGGGGAAACTGAGTTGGAGCAGATGTGATGTGACGTATTTGTTTCCGCTAAATTTAGCGGAAAACTTAAATTTGGCGGCAGATTCCGTGACGTCAAGTCACGTAACAAATTATACCGCCAAATTCAACTGGGAATCTGAATTGGTGCAAGGGTCACGTGGCGTCGATCATTCCGTTCAATTTAGCGGAGAAATTGACTTGGTGCATAGGTCGAATGACGTAAAGTATTTCGCTAAATATAGCCGGGAATCTGAATTTGTGTTTAGGTTTCGTGACGTCAAGTAACGTGTCATTAATTTTCGCTCTAAATTTAGCTGGGAAACCTTTCGTATACGCTCACGTCATAGAAAAACCGGCGAACGTGCCACTAACAGCTGTCGCTGCAAAAAGCCATACCGACCAAAAATCAATCGTTGTAGGCGTTGACTAAGAAGGCTACTTTTGTCTGACTAAAAGATAGTCAAAATCGGCTCACACATCGTTAATCATTATTTTAATACGATAGGCTTCTAGAAGTGCCCATGTTTGCCGGCCTCGTTATCTCCGTGTTACTTCTGTGTTCTAAAACAATTTAAAGCACTTGAAGGGGAAAGAGTGTAAATGTGGGAGGTCTCCCAACTTGACGTGAAGAAAATACAAATGATATCGTAGTCAGTCGTTTGGGCGTCGTCCGGTCTCTCCTATATAACATCAACCAGATGTTGGGAGATCTTTTACAGAACACCCTCTGAGCCGGGAACGAACTTGTTCTTGTGACGCTTTTGGCACCCGGGTGTTTAGGGATTGTCACTTACGGATCCCACCCTAGAGCATATTTTTCCCATCTTTTGGGGAACAGAAAACACTAGTGGGACCTCATTTCAGTCATCAACTTGTTTCAAAATGTGTGAAAATTTATGAAGTTGGGGGACTACCACTGGTCACTTCATTCGCATATTTCATCTGCCTTTGCAAATACCTTTAGCCTTTTGCAGCAGAATCCGTAAACTCTAAAAGCACCTGTGGGAGAAGCCCAGACGACCTTAGGCCTTCAACCTGAGAATTACAAATATCCTTGCCCGCATGGTAACACGACTTTAGCAAGGTCAAACCAATGATGTAAGTGGCTATGCCTCTTTTTACAAACTTTGAATTGGAGGACGAGAATGGAAGAATACCTTTTTTGATCGAGCCTCAAACGGACAGCAAAGGTGATTGGCCTGGACAGATAGCGGAAGGATAAGGAGTTGCAGGATGCCATCTTTGGTTTAGTTGGTTGAAAGTGAAATTGAGGCCTAAGCCGCACTTGTCGAAGGTTTTCAACACCTGATTTAAAATATTACTTTCCATATATTTCTCGTACACAATCAAAAAGTCATTAACATATCTAAAAACTTCCTATACTGCTAGGGGGCTAAGGGAATCCTGACTTGCGCGATTACCTTGTATAGAAAAATGTTGCTAAATAGAGGGCTATAGATGGCATTATACATATCCAAAAATGTTGTGGTACCTCCATTTACCCTATGAATATGGATTTTAGATATAACCTTGAAAGCTTGAAGAAGTCCCCTATCTCGGTAGCGTTTCGAAATGGGGAGCTCACCGTTAACTTCCATACATGATTGAACAAAGGCTAGCAAGTATTAATGGCGAAGGGAATAGAAAATATATTACACATCTATAGTAAAACCCATGATTACTACACCTCTCAGACCTCAGCGAATAAATTACATCTTCAAAGTTGCGTACCAAAAATGAATCAGTGAGGCTTAAATCAAAAAGGTGTTCTTGAAGAAAGGCAGCCTCTTGGACCTGTCAACTATCTCGTCCGGTAACAATTGCACGAAACGGGCAGGCGCCCTTGTGTGTTTTGCACTACAGAGCGCCTGGAGGTGTAATGCTTCTTTTCTATTTCTGATGTTGCCTGTCATTTGGGTCAATGTCATTTTATTACAGATATCCATTGCTTCCCACACTTTTCTTATATACAATCAAGAAATGAAGATATCCAAAAGCTTTCCGTACTGGTAGGAGACGAAGTAGACCTGAATGGCGCGATCAGCCTGTGACAAGAAAATGACCCTAAAAATAGGGGCTACGCACGACCCTATACATATCCCACACATTTGTAGGCGCATTTCATTCTTCCACCCTATCAACATATATTTCAGATAGGACTTAAAACGCTTGAGGAAGTCGTCTTTAGATACCTAGGTTGCGATTCGGTAGGTAATCGCACGGGTAGCTTCTATACGTGATTGAACAGAGACTAGCAAGGGTTGAAGGGGAAGGGAATAGAAGAGGTATTCGATATTGTCAGGAAGAAAGAAGAAGCGGGGCTGAGATGGCAGTGCGCGTGCTGAGCTCTCTCGGATCTGCATCGAACGGTCACCGTGGACGCACCATCTTAATCAAACTTCATTCATTGTATTAAACCCATCCATTCATCCAGAGCCTTACAGGTTGGTGGAGGTCAGCGGTTTCCTACCCCTCGCCACACCTCGCCACCCCCGACCCTGGAGCTACGCAGTGGACAGACCACCCAACGCCCGCCCATGGCTAACCAAGAAGGTAACACAACCGTAACCCGCTCTACACCCGCTGTGACTATAAAACATCGACAGCGAGACCCTCAGATATTCACGGGCTCTCCTGACTCAGACGTGGATGACTGGCTGAAGAACTACGAGCGCGTCAGTCAACACAACGGATGGGACGACTCCTTAGCTCGCCAACGTGGTCTTCTTTCTCTAAGACACATCGCTCCGATGGTTTGAAAACCACGAAGAAACCATCGATTCTTGGGACGGCTTCAAAACCGCGTTTGCGGACGGTTTTGGTCAACCCGAACACCGCAAAGAGAAGGCTCGAGACCAACTACAACACAGGTACCAGTCCACAGCAGAATCGTCAACCGCCTACATCGAAGATGTCCTCCGACTGTGTCGCCGAGTCGACCCCGAGATGAGCGAAGATGACAAGATCCGCCACCTATTCAAAGGGCTCTCACAGGAATTATTTTCCATCGTAGTCGAATAATTAAACAACAAATTGATGACATGCTAGAAAAAGGAGTGATCTAGCCTTCGTCCAGTCCTTGGTCGTCCCCCGTCGTCCTTGTTCGAAAGAAAGATGGCACCTGGCGCTTCTGTGTGGACTATCGCCGCCTGAACAAAGTCACGGAAAAAGACGTCTACCTCCTGCCACGAATTGACGATACACTCGACACGCTACAAGGCTCGTCCTACTTCTCATCAATGGACCTTCGAAGCGGTTACTGGCAAGTTCCTCTTGCCCCTAGTGATAAACCTAACACCGCCTTTAGAACGTATAATGGCCTTTACCATTTTAACGTCATGCCTTTCGGGCTTTGCAATGCGCCTGCCACATTCGAGCGCATGATGGATGCTCTACTTCGTGGCTTATCATGGAATATTTGTATCTGTTATCTCGACGATATTGTGGTCTTTTCTCCAACATTTGAGGAACACATCTCACGACTCCGCACGGTTCTTGAATGCATTCGTATTGCTGGACTCCAATTGAACAGCAAAAAGTGCACTTTCGGCGCCCAGGAAATCAAAGTGCTTGGCCATATAGTCAGTGCCGATGGAGTACGCCCAGATCCTGAGAAGGTACGGGCCGTATCAGAATTTCCTTTTCCACAAAACGTCAAACATGTGCGGACATTTCTAGGCTTATGCACCTACTTTCGAAAATTTATTTATCGATTTTCTCACATTGCTGAACCTCTAAATCAACTGCTACGCAATGGCATCTCTTTTCGATGGGGCCCAGATCAACATACGTCATTCGAACACTTAAAAAATGCGTTGACCACAGCCCCTGTTCTTGGTCACTTCGTCGAACGTCAGGACACCGAAATTCGAACCGACGCGAGTGGAGAGGGAATAGGTGCTGTTCTTGCTCAACATCACAACAACCAGCAGCGTGTCATCGCATATGCTAGCCGAACCCTCACCAAAGCCGAACGCAAATTTTCAACAACAGAAAAGGAATGCCTAGCAGTTATCTGGGAAATTTACAAATTTCGTCCTTACTTATATGGATCATCCTTTCGTATTGTCACCGACCATCATGCGCGATGCTGGCTTGCCAGCCTAAAAGACCCATCAGGACGCCTTGGCCGCTGGTCCTTGAAACTCCAAGAACACCGCTTTACCGTTGTATATAAATCAGGCAAGCGACACCTCGACGCCGACAGTCGATCTCGGTGTCCTCTCCCCAACAACGCGCCCCTTTCCTATGAGCATCACAAAGCAGACGTTACGGCAACCCTTCATAATCTCGACATGGCATCAGCGCAGCTCACTGACAATTCTC